AGCAGCAACACTCCCAAGCTGAAGAAGAGCAGCAGTAATAACTGATTAGAGGACAAAAACGTGCGAGAGATTGATCATTGATGGCCACCGTCCAATCCACAAAACAATATCTCGCCGGTCGCCGGCGCCGGCGAGATCGGTCGGCTACGGAGTACTGTAGTAGAGTACAGTACAGCCGCTGCTGCTGCTTCTTCGCAAGCTGCCGGCTGGGCCGCATTCATCACTCGCCGCAGAAAAAGTCGCGGCCACGGCCGGCGAATTTACAGGCTTCACCAATAATTTTGACCCTTCAGGATGGCACAACAGTGTGTGATTCAGATACTGCTGTTTCCTACTGCGAGTACATGCTGTGTATCTGCTTGTAGTGTGTACTTCTCCAGCTACGGGGATTTCGGAGGATTGTTACGGGCTATTACTCCATCTGTCCTAAAATATGTTAACTTAGAACTAAATATGTTGTAACATAATACTCCAACGAATATAGATAGGAGGTTGTCCAGATTTATTATACTTCGTATTAGATATATATTTTAGAACAAAGAAAGTACTAATTAGTACTCACCCTATCATAAAATATAGAAATCTAGTATCAAAACACTAGTACTATGATCTGGAGTTCTGGACATACCAGTATGCTCAATTCAATACTACATTTTTATTTTTTAAGACGAAAGAAATACATGTACTACTATAGGTTGCAGGCTTGCAGCTGTGCATTGACCAACTGACAATTTACATTTAAGCGGCTGCATTCAGAGCAAATTTATAATCCGCAACGATAATCTTGATTGGAAATATGGAGTATGTTTGTATTTGTTTTGTTCAGGCGGAGTATTGTATTATTATAAGGCTGCATTTCCAGCAGCTTTATAACTTCACCAACAATGTTGACCTGCAGGAGGAAAAGGAGTAAAATCGCAATAGTACCGTGAGCTGCTGTCCGCAATTCATCAATTTTTTTCAGAGCCGCAGTTAATTTTGCAGGCCTTGGTGTACATATCGGCGTTTGCAAGAACTGGCCGGAGAGCTTGACCACTGCACCCTGAAAACTAAAAAGTCCATCTTTTTTTTCTTATCTAAAAGAATCCATCTTTACCAACCGCAATTACAGTTTTTGTTACTGATTTTGATTGCAATTTCAGAACTTGATCAAAGTGAGGGCCCATGAGAGTAATTTACTCGTTGCTCTTTGTCCAGTTTTTCTTTTGCAGATTTTTTTTCAGAAGTACTCCAGTGCTACTACTGCTTTACTCGAGCAGGTAGGCAGAGGGCAGGCAGCGAGCGTATCATTGCTTTTCTACTGCTGGCTTTCGTTCTTTCTCTGACACCGTGGGGCCCATTCCTGCCTGGCACTAGATGAGAGGAGAGGAGAGGACAGTCAAATTCTCGAGCTTGCCCATTCCCTCGCAGCATCGCAATCGCAGCGGCAGAAACCATCTCTCCATTTCCTCGCGTAATTCCAAGATTGCCAGCTTACTTCGCTGTTCTATTCCTCGGGGTGTGTTTGGATAATGGGTTAAGAGAGATGGGATTGGGAAATGGAAATGAATGGATGGATAGGATGAAATGAAATGAGAAGAATGGATGGCTAAAATTGAAACTTACCTTTTGAGGGGTGGGAAATCATATCCCAAACCCATTATCCAAACATGGCCTTAGAGTTTCGCCATTGGCGATGACTAGGCGGAGAGGAGACCAAGACCCGCGGTAAAAAAAAAAAGCACTCCCTTTTTATTACTGCACATATTTACTGTGGTAACATCCACTGATCCAGAGTTAACAAGAGGATGCTAATGGCTCCTTTTGAACATAGGATTTTTTATAAAAAAAACAAAATGTGAAAAACTATAGAAATGATTGTTTGGATGGAATGAAAAAAAAAGGTAAGAATTAGATGAGAGAATAGACATAAGAGATTTTTTTAAAAGGTTGGACTTCATTTTAAAACTCCTTTAAAACCTTCAAATCCCTATATTGCGAGCCAATCTGAAGGAATTTTATAGGATTTTTGAATAGCTATGTTTTTAAATCCAAATGCTATGTTTTTAAATCCAAATGACCATACAGAGTTTCTTTTTCTATATAATTGAATCCATTTAAAATTTCTTCCCAAAGGTAGCCTAAGAATTGGAGTGATGCATAGCTTAATCTGATGACGAGGGATGCGCGTATTTCAGTCGTCAGTCTACCAAGTTTCTGCAACTGCAACACAGAGAACACCAAGACCAACAACCACCACTTCTGTAGAATAACCTTTTCTGTCTCTCATTTTAATCAATGGCTAATGAACTGTAAGAGCAGGTACAATAGCAGGCTATTAGCCAGCTATAAATATATTTTAATAAGATAAACGATGAGAGAGAAGAGTAGCGGGCTACAGATCTGTAGCCAGCTGCAGCATGGACTCCAAGACACACTGTATGTATGACAGGTGGAACCATATATTAATAGTATAGTAAGCAACTATTGTATGAATTAGCTATTATATCGGCTATATATGAATTGGAGCTAGTAGTGGGCTATACTGTTAGACTTGCTCTAAGCATAGATGCTAAACAGTTGATACGTGGGCAACTGGGCACTGCATAAAGAAATTGACCAAGTAACCACAAAGGCTGAGCTTCACAGCTCAAAAGAAAAGAAATTAGGAAAGGCTAGGACCTGCAGAGCTCGTTTGCTGATCAAAAGTGTACACCCCTTAATCACCGGGGATTAATAACTTAACCCCAATGATGACGATGTTCTATTACAGTATTCCCACTGTTATTAGATCTATAAAGTTTAAGAGTATTTCACTATGGTGATGTAATCAATGTGGTCTTTTAGCCTATCAGCTGGTTTTCTTTTAAAGTTATCCTTTTTATTTGGATAAGAAAGTGTTTTATGGTATAGTTCAGGATGTAAGACATTTCTATTATCTAAAACAATTAGATCTTTGAAGTGTGGACATGAACTTGCCTCTATCGAACGCAGATTCAGTGACATTCCCCCATGACATTCTCGGTGACATTGTGTCACTGACATATGGGTCGGTGACATTGAGTCACTGACATATAAGTCCCATATGTCAGTCACTCAATGTCACCGAGAATGTCACGAGGGAATGTCACCGAATCCCAATCCCTATCTTTAAGCTGCATGTGTTGAGTTCTGAAGTCTAAACTCCGGAATGATATATTGATATCTTTAATCACCTTCAGATAATCAAATGAACTCAAAATCAAAATGTTTGTGCGTTTTTATGGGCCTCTGCTTTAGTAAAAGAAAGGTCCAGCCAAGGCCCTTTACCCCACACAGCCATGTGAAGGAGTGCCTTGAGATCGGTGAAAAGAAACAAGAGAGGAGATTCAGAGATTCTCCCTGCTACTGTAGTAGGCGACCATGGGTGAAAAATGGCCCCAAAGCATGCAGCCTCTAGGTGGTGAGTGGTCACCTCCATCAAAAACCTCCATGGATTCTTCTGATCTTCTCCTCCTCCTCATATGGTCCCTTGTTAATTATCTCAATCTCCAAGTGTTAATCATGTGGTACTAGTGCTTACCCCCACTGAACTTGTGTTTGAAACCCATTGAATGAACTGAAGGTTGGGGTTGATAAATGGTACTAATGCTTGAGCCAAAGTTTTCAACGTAGTAATGATCAATTATGTCCTTGATTAGGGTGTGCTTGTGATTGTGTTGTTTAGAGCCTAGGTGGAAGTAAACAAAAGTGATGGCGTATTGTTGGCCTAGCAAAATAAAGTAAAAATTGTGCTTTGGTGTGAGTGAGGGTCGCCACTTGCAAGCTCCGAGTTGGGTGCAATTTGTCCCCCTTGCCAACCCCTAGTACGCATTCACACTCATAGAGAAATTAATGGCCAAGCATTCTAATTAATCAGATAAAAGACATGGTTTATCTGTGGCTAATTACAGTAATTTCCATCACATTTTCATGGGACAAATTGATTAAGTAAATTACTATAAATTTTTAGTAGCACGATGCATATGCAATGAAGCCTTGGCAATTGTGACAAAGACGTGGTTCCAAGGAAGCCGCGCTGTTACGTACGGTAGGTGTCTGAATTCTGCAATCTGCAGAATGCAGGTGGCTGGGCTCCCAGAAGAAACCCTGTCGCATGCATCACACTTATCTCACTGTCTCAACGATAGTGGCTCACTAGGACAGGCCAAGACGACTAACAGCTAATTAAACTGCTAAAATGAACGTGACGCATGCGACAGTGCTATCAAGCTTCTAATCATGTATTCATGTACTATCCTAATTGAAGCCTACTTATTGATAATGCCCATAGTAAATTTGATAGTATCAATAACATTCTTCATCGCAGTATCACAATTTGGCTCCATATTAGACTAGAGGCCGGGAGTGATATCAAGATGGTTATCTTGATTTCAATAAAAGCTTGCTTTCTTTTTTTTAAAAAAAAAAAAAACTTGGCTCCGTGTTAACAGTAAACCGAAGAATTGACAGGGTAGAGGGATCCAAAACGGCCCCAAGTTCTTAGCAATTGTGCAGTGGTGCACACGAAGTTAACAGGGCCTTAACCTGTCAGTCATTCAGTTAAGAAGGTAGCCAGACTGAACAAGCCCCAGCTGGCTGTCATTGTGGATATGGCATTTGGTGCAGTTGCAATGTGCTCGCCGTGCTGCAGCTACAGCTGCAGCGTAGCATTCATCAACCAGACTGAGAGAGCATGAATGAATTGAGCATGGCAATGGCCGGGACCATTGCTTGTGGGTTACCTTACCAGCTTACCTGAGCTGACATGAATGGTGGTCTCCAGAGTAGGTGAGGTGAGTGACGCCCAGGAGGTTATTGAATGATCCGGAGGAGATGGAGATCCTACCTGCAACAACTAGCAGCCCATGCACAACACATGCCTGTGCCCATCGGCCATGTGTCCTGTTGATCAATCCATTTATCAGTGTGGCAAGAACAATTAACATGCACATGCCTTGCATTCCAGAAGAGAGCACAAAGTTGATGTGAACAGTGGTGAGTGATGCTGATATCTGCTGAAGTAGTACTCATTTTGTTTCATCAGTGTTTTGAGACCGATCTTGGAATAATTCTGTTGATTTGATGGGTGCAAAGGGGTTACAATCACAGCAGATTTACATGCTTACAGCATTCTGAAAAATCGGATTCATCCTACAGAAAAGCTACTGTACAAAGGAGAAGAAACTCAAGAAAGACTGGAGACTAACAGCTACTGTACAGGGTGGAGTGAGCCATCTTGGGGTTCATCATAGAGGCATCAAGATCAAAATGGCCGTGGCCTCATGGCCGCAGCTTTGGCTGATATCCTAACATCTAAACTGAAGCATTTTCATGAACTCAGGGTAACATTGGTGTTGGGCCTGTTGGCAGAAGATGTAGGAACGGGCTCCAGTGGCAAACGTCCGGCCTGATAATGTGCAATGGAAGAGTGCTGATGATGTCCTTCCTTCCTCACTGCCTTTCTTCTGTATACCAGGAATCCTGCAGATTAAGACAAGTTGCAATTTCACTTCTGAAATATTCTGTTGTTTGAGATAACATTGTTCTTTTTACCTTAATTGGTGCGCTAGTAACACATTTGGAATGCTATGCTTATTTAAGTTGATGTTACTTCCTTTTTCATTTTAGGTTCTCTTACTACATGAAAAACCATGTCTACTTGGGACCACGTGCATTACAGATTTCCAATCATTGTTTTTGTGTATAAGGGAAGACTGTTTACCTTTATTTGTACAAGCGAATCTCCATTGCGAGAATATGAGGTGGGGTATTCCTTACTGCAGGGAGTTCTCTCGCTTTCAGTTCCAGGAGAAAAGTTATACATTTCTTTTGGTTTTCCCGGGGTAGAAAAGTATGGCATTGACCTTCCATTTGTCTTCTGTTTTCCATCACCATCAAAAGGCGAGCACTCAGACATCATGTAGTAAGAACTGAGGTGCTCCTGCCTACATACTGTAGGCGTCTCATGTTGATTTCTGAGATAAGACATGGTGCTGAAACCATGTTGGACAAAGCAAGCAGACGGGGAATAAGGCTGTGATTGCGGGCTAGGAAATGACATGAATGGTGATAGCCTTCCATGGGGTGAAAAGGAAGGTGGGGTAGTAACATCAGGACTTGACACAGGCAAAGGACAGCCTTCTATAGTTAAGCCTTGCTTCGCAGCTAGTTTAGAAATCTGTTTCTGGTTTAGCCCTGTTCCATAAATAATGTTCCACAGACTCCTTAGAGATTCCCTCTGGTTATATATTACTTGATCCCTCATAGCCATCTCAATTTGAAGCTCGGCATTAGTCATCCCCTAAAACACACATTATCCATAAGCAGATTGTGGAGTATCAACTATTATGAGGAAAACATACTAAAATGTGGTGGTTACTCACAAGAAGTCTGTACTGACTGAGAATGTGGAGGTAGGTTCTGTTGCCATTGTTACTGGTGGCTTCCTCGATCATATCTTGGAGTTGACGTTTGCGACTCTCATTCAGTTCAATATCCTACATAGTGTTTGCCATATAAGTTTGTTTTGAGGAAACCAAAAACAAAGGACAATCCGAATTTATATTACAAATACCTTTCTGTAGCCAGCACCAGCTTCATCATTGTCGCGTATGTTGTCAAGAATAACTTGTCTCCGTGATGTTAATGCTTGCAGAACAGCCGAATCCTTATCTTTCACCTGAACACAAATTCATCAGAGTTCTGTACACTGCAAAGAAAATTTCTGAGATACTATTGTAACAACATATGTGGTTTAGAGAGCTGCAACAGTCTGCGATGCCACAATACAATTCTTAGTTATGCTATCTCAAAGATGACAACCAGTATTTCCCTTATTGATGTTGCACTACAGGTATTAACTAGAGTTCTGATTGGAAGAGGCTTGTAAGCTGCCAGTGTGTAAAAGAGTAGTTTTTTGAGTTGTCAACAAACTGAATAGGTGAGTAATCAACCTGTTGTCTTGCAATTGCATCATCAAGATGCTGGAGCTCCATTCGATTGCGCTTATTGGTTTCTTCAAGTTCAAACAGTGCTTTCTGCAGATTAATGCGTTCTTGAACATTCTCGCCAGTTTCCTGGCTCAAGATATTTAGCCAAGATAGCTCATTGTCTGCAGCTTTTTCAGTAGGTTTTACACTTAACTGATGCTCCTTCTCAGCTAATTCCTTCTTCAACTGAGAAACCTCAACCTACAAAGTCATAATGGAACATATTTTAATGTGATGGAGTGCTGATAGAATTGTAGAAAGTTCATTTGTGTTTTTTCAGTAAGGCAAACCTGGAGATTGTCAATCATCCTTTTGTAGTCTTCAACATGGGTGTCAAGATGTCCAATGTTTTTCTGTACAGGACAACAAACAACATAAGAACTGGTTTTTTCACATTTATGATTCAGAACCAATTAAATATTTTGCATGGGTGAGAATAGTGATGACTACATAGACACAGCATCTTGTAATTTGTTATGCAGACTAAAAGAAATGGCCCCTTACATGGACATGTGTTTTTATCTCCTTTGCACGATCAGCATACTTGAGTGTATTGGTGGTGTGATGATACTGATCATCAGCTGGTGATATCGTAGCAACCATAACAGTACGAGAGTTACCAGAGAGCCCATCCTTCAGGATTCGTGTTAATTTGCTGCAGAGTACCATTGTCATATAACTAAGATTTTTAAAACGATGGATTCCAGAATGATACACCTGAAAATGGAAATACCTGTTTCGATATGGAACATATGCAAGACCTTTCTTGTTTTGCTTGCCAAGGGCATTGATGCAGTTCGCTAGCGCTAGAAGTGAACGGTTAATGTTGGCTCCATCTCTAAGCTTTTGCCCAAAGTTGTTTGTTTCAGAGGCCCTCTCACTGTTATAATATAAGCGTTGCTTTATAGCTTACTTTCTTAGCAGGGTGAAATGAGAAAAACAATCCAAAAAGGAGTAGGTATTAGTGTATTACCTGCCCGCAAGGTCAACCAACGCAAGCTTTCCACGAAGAACCTGACTACCATATTGTCCTTTTTGTTTTCGCTTCACAGTTATCTCCAGGACAGCATGTGACCTTGGATTTAAAAAAAAAGGATAAATCTTATTAATAGAATGTAGTAAAGATGTCCAGCACTACGTCCTACAGCAGCTGTCTTCGTAGAAACAAAATCTCAGTGATACATCAGATTAAGATATTAAGTATCCTCCTTAAATAGCAGTTCATTAAACAGATAGAAATGCATTGTTTTGCTAAGCAAGATATCAACAAATTCTTCAAAAGCTGAATGGCCATAACAGCATCTACTTACAGAAAGGAAAGAAGGAAATTCACAATATGTAATTACCGTGAAGAAGTTGAGTTTGCTTCTGTGCTCTCTGTCTTGCGCCGACTGTTGCCTATGTTCAAGAGTTCAAGAATCTTATCTGCTGAGTGAACCTAAGCAAATAAAAGATTGATCATCAAAATATTCTTATATGTAGAGGTGAATGGAATGTTGACTAGGCCTATTTTTACGAATATGATGAGGAATGGCATGCAAACACAGTAGACCACTTGCTGTTGTTACAAAGGGCAGAAATTGGTTGTATGAACTAATCATTAAAAGAAAAAAGATGAATAAATAGCTGAAGAAGTCTGAAAGGGTTGGTATCTACAAGTATTTCTTCCAGAAAGGACAAAAAAAAAACCATGCAGATAAATTAAATAGTGCAACTTAAAAATCATCTCTTCCTTAATTGGCTCAATGACGAGAGGATATTATATGCACAAAAGAGGTTACAAGCATTAGGATGGCCAAAAAAATATGAAGAAAACAAAACAAAAAATGCCAGAATTGACACTATTACTACAAGGCATTTGTTTTCTAATTATCACAAAAATTAAACAGATTAGAGGAAGCTAGAAACCTTAATGCTTCTTAAACCAGCAACCATTATACCATGCACAGGATCTTCACGAAGCTCCAGGTGACCTGACGATTTTTCAAGCAAATCATAGATAACCTGGAATTCAGAAAGCACAGAGTTTTTTCACGAAAGTTTATATGTAGTATAGAGAATTTAAGGACTAATAGTTAACTTTTTTAAGAAACTATATATTGCACATTACCTCATTGTACACTTCAAGATATGAACATGAGACCTCAAACGTATCTTTACTGTCATCCTTCTTTACCAGATCAAAGATTGTGCGAAAGCTCAGAACCATAAGACCAGGATCACTATGGGTTCCAACCATTGTATAAGTTTTCCCACTGCACAATCACAAATAACAGAATATTTCACATTATGCATATGAAGCGTAATACTAATAAGAGCCATTTCAGCTTCTAGATCAGTATTGAAGTATTTGTAAAACTTCATTATTAATGGACACAATGATGAGCGTGGATTCCCATAAAAAGGAAAAATGAACTTGCCCAAATAGTATAATAGCTTCACCAAGGAAGCTCCGTAAAGTGGCTAAGTCATATTTTTCATATTATGTCATGATTAAAAAAAAACTAAAGAAGCCTTTCTTACCAAAGTTCAAGTTTACTGAAAAGGTAGGATGGTCTCAGTTTGTTTTAGCATTTATTTAAGTTTCACAAAACAAGAATGGCAATGGACTAAACATAATCATGATTTTGTTTACAATTGGCATGAGGTGAACTCAGCAGATATAGTATATATCACATATCACAAATTCACAATAGTTTTAAGTTAGGCATCTCAAAGGAAAAAAACATAAGAGGAAATCAGGCAAACATAATGTGGTTGATTTGAAGAAACACTTTCATATCATACCAACTGAGTGTAGCAAGTTTTTCAAATGTAAACCATATCTAACAATAGCAGCAAATGAGATAATTCAGGGTTCAGAAATTTACGGCAGTATGTGTGATGATAGCAATATGTGCAGCAGGCAGTATGCTTGCAAACAACAAAACTATCCAGTGAGCATGTACCTTCCAGTAGAACCATAAGCAAAGACTGTCGCATTAAGGCCTTGAACTACACCAGCAATTGTAGAAGATATATTCTTATATACATCCTGCACAAGTAATGTAATTGCATTATCAAAGCACGATCTTAAAATGTGATAGTGGAGTACAAGAGAACATGGCATTTGCCCCCAGCAGTTAACAAGCAAGCAAGCTGGTGCATACGTGTGCGCACACAACAGATTCTCATCTTGTAATTCTCATACATTTTTTCAGTAATGGAAATATAGATACTGAAAAGCTCCCAAGATCAAAAACAAAATCTATCAAGACTTACAGTTTTAGGCAACTGCAGTTCAAGAAAACATTTGTACATAACTGCAAACCAGTTAGCATATAATTGCAAACTGGTTAGCCCAATTATGTATAAGATAATTAAAATTTATTTACAGAGCATATGTTCATTTACATGTCTTCATTAATCAGCCCAACATGGTCCAATGATCACACAATTATTTATGTTTTGTACATCTTGTCTATATGAATGTGACTGACAGATGTCAGATATAGAACATAAAGCATTTTAGCGCCATTGAATTTTTTTTCTTGTTTTTTTTTTAAAAAATAGGGATGTATTTCTATGAAAAAGATAATTATTTTTGTAGACCTGTTGGACTACAATAATAAGATAGGCTATATGGTAGAATAAGTTGCTACCATTTGATAGTCAGTTTTCTTGTTTCCGGCCAGGATCTTGCTGACTACAAAATTTGCAGATGGATTTTGCTTTAAACAGGCTAATAAATTAGTACACAAGCAATTTGGCGCTCCTGCGCTCAGCGCTCTCATGGTTGTATGGTCCACCAAATAAACACAAGACATGTGCGGTAACTCACTACCTTACATAATTTTCAGACCTTAATACAATAGGCACAAGAGGTCGTGTATATCTAAGATGGCCGTGGTGTCGAATACTGTAACTGTGTCAGGAAGACTGGTTTTGACAGGGACCCAGAGTTGCAAGTATTAAAGGTTGGAGCAATGAAGTTAATGTATAAGCGTGCAAAGCATGCTTACAGTGCAGGTTTTCCTAAGAAGATCTAGGTTGTAGAGTTTAATACAACAACTAAACTACAGTCCTTTTCCCTTAACCAGACGTATGTATTTGTTAGGTAGACTACCTAACACTAGTAACAGTACATACTGGATTGCTCCAGACTGAACAATAGTACAAATACTTCGTGTTGGCCTTTTGTTGGTACCAACAGTATTGTTTCAACTGTACAAAGCACGAGAACCTCCTAAATTTAGCAGTTAATGATCCAAAGAAGTAGGTTGGGGTTTGGCCTTTAGGGGCATCATTTCCTAACATGCTAGTTATGAACAATTCAGGAATTTCCAAACTGTGGTGCAGTTCCAAGCACTTGCTGTAATCAGCATATGAGCCCATTTGGTAACAGACAAAGCAGTTCCAGTTTAGAGCATCACAATCTATCTGAGCCTGCATACCGCATTGGAGCACCCGGGCGCATACACATGATCGAAGCTGTATCTTCTCTCCTTGGTCCTGTTTTGGATGAGTTCAAGGTAGTCCTTGGACAGATCAGGGTCCAGCACAACGACATTCTGGGGGGCAAAAAACATACAGGCAACACATTACAATCACAATCTGGCAGAATTCCAACTGAACAACTGCACAACAAATTACGCATTTTACTACTAAACTAGAGCCTGCACCTTATCATCAATGACTTGTATGATATGCCGCGAACGCCGCTGCTCGCTGTCTGTCAGTGGCCTGCACTTCACAGCCACCTGCAGAGAGACACATGATTACACATCGAAGCAACAGAGCAAGCAGCATCATCCCAACAAAAAATCAAGAATCGCGAGAAATTACTCCATTCCATCCGTTTCATCGCAGAAGGATCTATAATCTACCTGTAGCGTGGCCGTCTGCTTGGAAGCCGGAGCTCGGATGCTCGGCATTGCCAGGAACCTTCGCTCGAGAGCTCCCACCAAACAAAAAAGATGCGGTTTTTATCTACCAGAAACCAACGCAATTGCGCCGACGCTTGATAGCCACGCCACGCAGAGGCGGCAAAAGGGGGCGAGGCGCATCCCCACCACACACCAGCAGCAGCACACCGCGGCGGCGAAAAGAAAGAAAAAAACACAAAAGCTTCCACGGAAAGGCGCCACTGCACCGGTGACGACTTGCCCGGCCGGCCACCAACCGCCGCCGCCACCGCCGCCGCCCAAGAAACCGCGAATGCCGGATCAGAATGCCACCTGAATCTCCAGAATCCGCGCAACTCTCTCTCCAAGAACAGACAGGAAGGTCGGGGCCCCCAATCCACGTTGCTCCCTCCACCCAAATTGCCGGGAAGAGGGAAGAACCCGTCACGGCCCCCGAGACGAGCAGTTGGTGGGCAGCACGACACGACGAGGAGACGAGAAGATTCCGGAGGAGGAGGAGATTGGGCGCGAGGAGGAGGGGAGACGACGAGTGGGGGAAGTGGAAGGAAGAACAAGAAGAAGGGTGGAGGTGGTTTAATGGGGTGGTAGAATAATTAATTGGCGGCAGCTGTCGCGGGGGAAGAAGACGACACGGAACAGAAGAGGGGTGTGTGGGGCCCACTCGCAGGGCCGGGCCCACCCTCACCAACGGTCCGTTTCCCTTCCCTCCCTCCGGTACACGACGCCGTACACTACCTCCCTCCCATCCCACACAGCACACAGCTGCACCAACCATCATCCAACATCCATGGCGCCTCTGGACCATGGTGATAAACTCCTCCATGCCTTTGCCATGGCGCCATCCTCTGCCTGCTGCCCCCTCACCTGACATTGACATTGGATTCTACACACTGATCGGTGAAAAATCCCAAATCCGTGGATTACTCCCAAAATGCAAGGATCGGATTTAGGAGTGGTATAGAAAATCAGCGTACCGTTGTGCCGCAGCCAACATCAACAGTGTCATAAACATCTCAATGCAATGGCAGGCTGCAGCAACCATAGCCGCACCCATTTCATCTGAACAGCTTTATAATATATTGTTTTACAATAAAAAAAGAAGCATCCTTAATCATGGCATATGCATTTTTGATGTGTTCTTTGTACGGATAGATGAGTATGGAAACACTTCGATGCAATGGTTACTGTTTATTTGTGCGAAGAAAAATGATTCTTTTTTAGACGAAAAAACATTTCTGTCTGGTGGCAAACAACAATGACATGATGTTTAATTAGTACCTTTTGATTGCCCTGCCTCCTTAATAAGCCCTACGTTAACCGGTTGTGAAAGCAGCAGTAACGTGTAATCAACGGAGGAGTACGTATTTAAGTTTAATGTTGACGTACGTTGGTCACGTTCATAACTGCATGCTAAATTAATTCCTCCATCAAAATAGCCATCATCTGGGATCTGGAAGTTGCTCCCGTGGACGCAATCTTGCACTCATACGCATGCTGATGCCTGAGGAGCATCTTTTTTGGGGACAAATCCAAGATTAAATTTTAATGTCAATTTCTCATAAATATATTCATAATAGGTATAAAATCAACTTTGTGGGGGAAAGTATTTTAAATTACGAATCTATTGGATTAGTTTTAAAACACCGCTTATACTTTGAGTTTGACTAATTTTGTGGGCCACCGTTGGAAAATACTAATTTTGTGGGTAAATTATCTGGAAGTTTCGCTGTTTAAAAACAAACCCAATAAGAGAACACTTGATACTTTGATGATTGGGTACCCTATTTGAAGATCGATCGAATAGCACCGTCCAGTGTACTGCTAGCTACAACCTCGAATGTTTGATTTTGTATCTTGTATTTCCGTGCTAAATCTAACCTGCTTCTGGATGCACCAAACAATCATTGAGATTTGGTCCGGATCACGAACACTATTCATCTTGAATTTTGAAACGAACACGTCAACAAAATCATTAAATTGCTTGCACAATTATTTTTTCTTTTTTACAAATATCATTTTCTTGCATTAGTGGCATCCTCCGTGCCGCACCTAACATGGGCACGACTTTCTGGTGGACCGATAGAACTGTTCACTTTCTGGAGATGCAGTGCCACTGGCCACTGCCAACCCGCCTTCTGAACTTGAACTAAAAAAATTTTGAAATGTACGTGAAATAATTAAAAACACCCAACTACAAAACTGACTCGTTTGTTGTGTTTGTGCTTTCATGTCTTCAAGGCATCAACACAGGCAAACAATAATTTGACACGAAGTTCAGAAGTTGAATGCACGTGGAGCCAACAACAACCAAATGAAAGCAATGTATACCTCGGTGAAGTTTTTGAAACGTGTGTGTGAACAAAATAAAAGCCCCAACAACGAAAACTTCTGGTAGTTATGCTTAAGCCTCAGATACCGGAGGCATTCAAATGAAAATTCAAAAGTCAAATGGCCATGGAGCCAAAACAATTCATATATATGTGCACGCACGGCTTGGATCATACTTTTCAAAGTAATTTGGCACGCATGTCAGCACGTAGAACACCAATTGGATCATGGAGTGCAACCATTCCTTTTGAGTATTTTTAAACACCTGCGTATTGTCAACCGGATTTTCCATTTGTGAAGTAACCAGGCCTCTTTTCTAAATACTTTTAGTTTGGATGATTACTTTGTTTGCAGAACGAAGGAACCTTTAAAGCAAATAGTTTTGGACTGGTTGCAAACTTTGTAATCTTTTAGTGTTTTTCTTGTAACCTTGTACGTATTTTCTCTCTATAATGAAATTACACTACTAGGCAAAGCCCTGATAGTTTTCTCAGTCAAAAAGAAATAAGTGGAAAGATCGGAAAAGGAATACTAACCGAAAAAGAGTATAGTAATAGAAGAGCGGATATATATGAACCATCTCCATGGAATAGGCGACATGGGTACATGTGGGTCCATAAGCTGTGGAGCTCACATGTCAGCCACTTAAAGTCAGAGGATAATAAGTTAGAGGATCTGCTTTTCATGGGATAACAATTAAAAAACTACTTTCATTTTTTTTGAAGAGATAAAAAAAAACTACTTTCATTTTAAAAACTACTTTCATTTTGATTTGTTAGATTTACTTCTTCTTTTTAGAAAATCTCACACTAAATTAGAAGGTGCAACAAACTACACTGCTACCCTCATTAGTTACGTCCCAACCATCTTTCTGATGCAAGCATCAATTTTTTCATGAGCAGTACTAGTATGGCTATATCTATTATCTATGAATAGATTAAAAATGCTTTGAAATGTGAGAACGATATTTTTTCTAAAAAATAATGAATGCTAGAATGATAAATAAACTGGTACGAAGAGGATACAACATTTTCGTGTATTAATGTTTGTTTTTTTCTACAATTGCATACTCCCTCCGTCTGTTCCGTCCATTTCATATTATAGGTTTTGACTTTATCTAGGTCATACTATCAAGTTTATAGATAAAATTAGTAATATCTACAACACCAAATTAGTTTCATTAAATTTAGTATTAAATATATTTTAATAATATGTTTCTTTTGTATTAAAATTATAGTATATTTTTCTACGAACTTAAAAAAATTTAACTAGAAGAAAAAAATGACTTATAATATAAAACAAATAGAGTAAAACACGTGACATTTAACTATTTGTCACTTTTAAGATGTGGCAATTAAGAACTTGCCACTCGCTGTGTATGACATGTGAGTCCTCACGTGTCTATAATATGTTAGTCCGGTGGTAAATCCTTTATCACAACTTGTAAGAGTAGCAAGTAGTTAATTATTCCATAGAAGACGGACACACCACACCTAAAACTGTGAGGTGGTACTTGATACTCCGTGAACAATTCGTGAACATATCGATTTAAAATGTACAGGAGTGGAGTAAAATGTAAGTTTGGCTTGTTTGGCGCAGCTCCGCTCCTATTTTTGGTGGAGTTCTCTCTCACAAAATAAACTATAGATGTGGAGCTGGGTTTAGGCAACTCCACAACTACACTCAGGACCCAACTCTTGAATCTAAATTTTGGAGTTGGAGCTCTTGGCTTACTCCTCACTGACTCACTCCTCCGTTTAAGAGCAAGGCTAATAGTATAGCCAGTTGCTGACTAATAGTCCATTGCTTAAGCCGACTACTAGTATAATAGATTGTCTGTTGGCTGACTACACCATATAATCAAATAGTTAATTATAACCAGTACATATCAATGTATATGATCAAGAGTGAATTGCATCCTTGTAGCCATTTGTGCCAGAGCATATTTAGAGACCATATCAACCAAAATATCTGTAGTACAAAAATTGCAAGGCACTATTACTACATGACATTAACTCAAATATTCCCAAAAATAAAACTTAAATACCATAGATTAATCGATAATAATCTATTAGCGGGCATGAGAGATTAGCGAGGGGAAGAGGGAAAGCGGATAATAGGGGTGGATTTGTGTCAATCTTACCGGATTTTTGAGGCCGGCAAAATAGTGAGATGTGATTTTTTGGGGCGGATTTGTGTTAATCTTACCGGATTTTTGAGGCCGGCAAAATAGTAAGATGTGATTTTTTTGGGGTGGATTTGTGTCGGGAGGGGAAGAGATCTTCGCGCGCGGGAAGGGAAGAGATGGCGCGCATGGGAGAAGAGATGGCGCGTGGGCACATCTACATCACGCAGGAGGGGCGGAGATCGAGCGAGCACGGCTGGGCATTGGGGCAGAGGGAAGGGCATTTTGCTCGGTGGGGTGGGGAAGGGGATCGGCTACGGTGTGGGGGTCCACAAATCGTGTTTTTTTATTGCTGAGTTGGGCTGCAATCTAGCAGTAGCGCATGGGAAAGAGAGCTATCGCCGGGTGATAGATTTGTCGTTCGTTCTCCTCTCTCATCAATTCTCTCCTCTCCACATAGAAATATGATGATGTGGCATAATTTTAAAGTTCGTCTAGTCAGCTTTTTTACCTGCTCTAAACCCTGCCATGGCCAAAGCCTACCGAGACGGTGCACGGCTGCACACCCTTCAAGATACGTGCACTCACTCGCTCCGATTAGAATACCGGAAACGGATACCCCCGTTAATTGCCGCAAACAAGCACGGCTCGTGTCGCGTTCATGCGCGCGCGCACGGAGACGAAGCGGCGGAGGCCCCAGCTAGCGCATACCTCAATCACGGGGAGGCCACGCCACGGCGGCAAAGTTGCCGACGACGCGGTGGTTGGAGAGAGAGACACACTTTGGCCGTTTGCCGCCACTCGCCACGGATCCCCGTTTATTTTACTCGCCGAATCATCGCCACGCAGGCAAAGAGTAGTAAGTTCATCATTGGGCTAATCAACCACGAATCATGGCTCAGCGGAATCTAGCGAGCAAAGCAGTGTCATATCCTTCCCTTTCTGCTGCATTTCTTTATTTTTTCCCGCCCCGATGGGATTAATATTAGCTGCTGGTGTAAGGTACGGATGCCTCCGTTTCTTGTCGACGATTGTCGATTGCATCTGTTCCTGCAGTTTCTGCGACGGTGGCAGCCACTGCTAACAGAGGGTGTTCAGGGTGTCACATCGGTTATTATATAGGGTATCATATACGTTAATAAACTGTGAGACGAATTTATTAAGTCTAATTAATTTATTATTAGCACATATTTACTGTATCACCACATTTGTCAAATCAAGTAGTAATTAGGTGTAAAAAAATCATCTCACAAATTATTCACAATATGTGTAATTAGCTATTTTTTAATTTTATATTTAATATTTTATGCATGTGTTTTAGGGTGACTTCTAAATAGGCCCATAGCATGATGGATTCCTCCTGCGATGAGATGGCAGCACAGTATTAGTAGTACTAGTACCACACACCGCGCAATGCCCCGTGTGTGACGAGGTGCTGTGCCCATGTCGGTGGCAGTAATAGTAGCGGTATGCCGGTACGAAGTACGAACTGGCCAGCTGGGTTCTCACAATTGTTTTGCTCTTTTGCTGAAACACAGACATAGTGCACGGAGGGTAGAATTGAGTTCACTCCATTAGTGTCTGCAGGCTACATGATCCCAAGAAATGGCCGTGCCAAGCCTACAAATCGATTCATCCCGAGTCCCCGACCATGTGACTACGGGAGATGGGCTGCAGGTGCCGGTGACGAATGAGCTCGTGGCGGCGCAGGGAACAGGAGCAGGACAAGATCTTCCTGGACGCGTAAACAATGGAGCACTTGGAGAGAGGGGATCATGCTACAAGTACTAGCGAGAAGAGATGCCGCGTCCACCGTCTGGCGAAGATCGCGTCTGGATTGCTGCCACTGGCAGCATCACAAACCCATTATTTTTGCTGCCGTACTACGTGCAGGCAGGCAGCACGGCGGGCGATCTCATCTCGTGAGGTTGGCGCACCGGGTCGATCACCCACCGGCACAAATTAAACCGACTCGATCCGCCTCGTGGCACGGCAACTAATCGACCGGGTCGTTCCGTTACCTGTTCTAGTTGTACCAGCCCGCGACCGCGACGGCGACGGCGCCCCACGACCACGAGCAGTTGGGATCCTCTCCAAAATTCCAAGCTTCCAACGTCTTGGCCCAATCCAATCCCCAGCCACAGGTCGCGGTCACCGCCAAGCTCACCACACGTACTACGTCGCGCCATCCGCTTCCTCCGCCCGCACGGCGCAAGCGTGCTACGCCGCTACGCGCTGCGTACGCGTCGCAGAGGCCGAACGCGATGTGGAGGAGGGCATTTAACTCGCGGCGCACGGGTTTGTGTCCTCGCCGCCGTGGCCGTGGGCGTCGGCGGATATTGAGTGCGGTTCGAGGCGAGCGAGAGGAGGCGTAGCCTCGAAGCGAGGGCGAGGCGAACGACCGAACGAACTGTGTAGTACGTGACGCGCGGGGCGGCACGGGTGGGAGGCAATAAACGGTGTGCCGGCTGTACACCAGTAGGATCGCACAGGATCATCGCGTCGTGCACGTGATGCGCCGTACCTGAGGTCGTGATTTTTGCCGTACCTGCGAAGGCGTCGTTTCCCTTGGAACGCAGAGAGAGCCAGAGATCGACAGAGCCGAGTACTGCTATTGTATAGTTGTATGCATTCATGTATAGCCCCAGGGAGCAAGTATCCCAGATCCACGTGATCGCGTTCTAAGATTATACGTCTTGTATTGCTTGTCTTTGTGTTACTAGTACTACAAAAAAGTACGTATCTACTTTTCCCTTGCGATTTTGCTAGATCTTTGTCAACAGATTTTCACCCCCAATATTTGTCGTTTTTCTATCCGTAGGATTTGCGCCATGATTCGTGCATTTCCCTGTGTGGATGAGACCGTGTGGCCTGTGAGCAGATGGCCTGGGAGTCAATGTGGGCCAATCCATGTTAAATTTTGGATTCCGCGCTATTATGTCCGTAACCGTTGGTTGTTTCCTCGCTCTCTTTCTTTATTCTCGCTCTTTCTCTACATCTCTTTCTCCTCTTTCTTTTCTCTTCTCGTTTTCTCCGTCGAGAGAGAGAGCTCGCCGGCGAGAGAGAGCACGAGCAGCTCCCCGGCGGGAGAGAGAGAGCGCGCGCGCTCGCTAGGGGAGACAACTCGAGAGAGAGTGTTTTTTGAGTTTCTTCCCTGATTTGCTGGCATCATTAGCTTGTGTTTTGGTTTTTTCAATGTCAATAGGGCTAGGTTTAGAAGATTCGGGTCAATACATGACGATTTTTTTTGCTCCCAACGTATGGATCTGATTCAGAATCACTTGTTTTAGTTTTGGAATCCGTTTAGGTTTTGGATTCCCTAAGTTTTTAGTTATAGTTTGATTCAGTTCAGTCTAGGGTGTTTTGTTACTAGTCCATTGTTTGCAAACGACCAGATTCGATGGTGTTCTATGTTTTTTTTTCTAATCCACGAGGGTTTTTGTATTTTTGGTTCGATTTTTCTTCAGGGGTGTTCATGTTGGGGGTTGGATTCAGGGGTATTTGATGGAGTTAAAGGTTTAATTCGAGGTGGATTTAGGGGTTTTTTCTAATCACCCAGATAGTTGATCATTTTTTGGATCCCTGCATGAATTTTCTTCAGGGAGGGGGTCAGATTCATGAGTTGATTATTTTTGCTTTGATTTATGTGTGATTTGAATATAGTAGGGAAGCATCATTGCAACTTTATCTGAATGTTGCATTTCACTTTCAGTGATTAGTTGACTGATCTGTTAAACTCCTTGCATGAGTCTGAATTTTTCTGCATGTGAAGCATTTCGTTTCAGAGATGATTTATCTGTCAACTCCCTGCATATATCTGAATTCTTATGCATCTGAAGAATTTCGTTTTACATATGCATGCTAACTGAACCCCAAGTATGTTTTGTGTTGCCTTCTGCAGCATATGAATCATTTCGTTTCAGAGATGTACGGTTTGATTTCCCAGTATGCTGAGTTGCTTGGTTAAATTAAACCCAAACCCCTACATGCGTTCTGCTTTCTTCAGATTGTATTCTACTGTACTATTTGCTTTATAAAATTCCTGTACATGTTCTGAACTTTTCAGTGCTGATCTAAATGAGTTAGCAGCAAGCCAATACCTGAACTTGGTCCCTGTTGCTTTGAGAAATTATGGGCTATTGGTTGCATCTGCTCTTTCTTCTCTTCTGAACTTTTGTTCATTGTCAATCGCTCGTAAATCGTAAATCTGTTTGAATTGGCGCTATTTCTGAACTTGGGAACATAATTGGCACTATTTCTGAATTGGGAACAGGGGATAGCACGCTCGTAAATCTATTTGAATTGTCAGTATTTTTTGAATCTTGGAGCAGGCTATTGCACAGTTTCAGTCGACATGAGCTTTTTAAAATCTCATACTTCAGCAAACTGAAAAATAATTTGGAGGGTTTCAGTCTAATGTTGATCTAATGCATTTCAATGGTAGCAAAACCAAGGTCACTTGGGTGCCTGGAGGTATTCACATGCCTGAAATATCTGTATGATTTTTTTTCTTCTTTATTCTGAATGACCCATCGTCCCATCCCAATATTGTTCCCATGTTAATTATGTGTGGAGCTTGTTAGTCAGTTAACTCATTTGCTGTGAAATTTAATCGGGAGGCTCAACAACAACACCCTGTCTGGTCCATTCCCTTCTGGTCCATTCCCTTCTGCATCAGCTAACTTGTCACATCTTGTTGTCGAGTGATTTTAATATATGTGCACAGAAGTTTGAGATATGTGCAAATTATGTACAAAATTTAATATATGGGCAAATTTGTACACAACTAGAGATATGACTGTTTGGACCACAATGCTCTGTTTTTTTTTATCCTAGGCTCTAATCTAATTGTTGTGCTTTGTTAAACACCACTGTCTGAAGATGATTTTCACTTGAGGAAAATCTTCAGTCCATTGTGACAAAGTGACTCCTTTTCTGAAGAAATTCTTTATTTTTTGAAGAAATTCAAGCATGCTTGCAGTTTTAGCCCAGTTACAGTCTATATGTATTGTAGTTACATATGTAACTTTTGTTATTTCTCACTGTAACTAACTATAGATATATAGTCCTTGAAAATTTATCAACGCTACAATCTCTAATTTGTTGTATATAATTTTATGCTAGATTATATTATCTGCCAAGATCATTTTATGGTGCATAATGCTAGGTGAGCATGATAACTGACCTTTCAATGTTTTCTTGCTTCTTATTTCTCTGGACAAAATTTTGTCACTTTCATATCTCTCCGATTGCATATCCCCTGATTTTTCAGACTGTAACCCATCAGACCCTGCATGTTTATATTATTTGTAACATAATTTAGAACTTGTTATAATAGGGGAAAATATTTAATGCTGCTGCATGAGTACTGAATTTTTTTGAAGAAATTCAAGCATGAAAGCTGTTATAGCCTAGTTACAGTTCAGATGTAATGTAGTTACATATGTAACTTTTCTTATTTCTCACTGTAACTGACTATAGATAGATAGGTCTTTAGATTTTTCAAAGCCGCCATCTCTAATATATGTGCTAGATTAAATTGTCTGTCAAGGTCAAATATGGACCATAATGCTAGGTTATCATGATTATGACCTTTAGTTGTCTTCTTGCTTCTTTTTTCATCAGACGAAATTAATGTTATCTCTTTCAGATCTCTCTGATTATGTATCCACTGTTACTTGAGATCGAATTGTAACAGAACCTGCATAGATAGGTTATTTGTAATATAATTTAGATAATGTATATTAGACAAAATTTTTTTGAAGAAATTCAAGCATGATTGTAGTTACATCCCAGTTACAGTCAATATGTACTGTAGTTACATATGTAACTTCTGTTACTTCTCACTGTAACTGGAGATAGATAGTTTTTCAAAAAAAAAAAAATCATGCTTTCATGTATACAAAATTGTGCTAGATTTTATGACTGACAAGATCAAATTTGGTGCATAATGCTATCTGTCCATTGTTCTCACCTTCAAGTGTCTTCTTGCTTATTAATTTTTCTGAGAAAATTTTGTCACTTTGACATCTATTTGACTCTGTATTCACTTTTGCTTGAGCTTCTAATCTATCAGGCGTTGCATGTTTCAATCATTTGTAGTACAATTTAGAACAAGTCATAATAGTAAAAAAATGTTAATGCTGTTGCATGAGTACTGAATTTTTTGAAGAAATTCAAGCATGATTGTAGTTAAAGCCCAGTTACAGTCAATATGTACTGTAGTTACATATGTAATTTCTGTTATTTCTCACTGTAACTGGATATAGATATATAGTTCTTTAAAAATTTATCATGCTACTATCTCTAATTTGTTGTATATAAATTTTTGCTAGATGACATTTTCTGACAAGATAAAAAATGGTCCATAATGCTAGGTGAGAATGATTCTCACCTTTAACTGTCTTCTTGCTTCTCATTTCTTCAGACACAATTTTGCTTCTCATTTCATATCCATCTGATTGTGTATCTCCTGATTTTTGAGATTGCAATATACGTGACCCTACATGATTAGGTTATTTGTAATATAATTTAGAACATTTTGTCATAGGCAAAAAAAAAGTTAGTGCATGAGTACTGAATTTTTTTTAAAAAAAAATCAAAGGATGATTCCAGTTATAACCCAGTTACTGTTCAAATGTACTGTAGTTACATCTGTAACTTTTGTTATTTCTCACTGTAACTGACCGTAGATAAATAGTTCTTTATATATTTGTAACATAATTTAGAGCTTGTTATACTAGGGGAAAGTGTTTTAATGTTGCTGCATGAATACTGAATTTTTAAAGAAATTTAAGAATGATTCCATTTACAACCCAGTTATAGTTAGATGTACAGTAGTTACATCTGTAACTTTTGTTATTTCTCACTGTAACTGACTATAGATAGATAACTCTTTATATATTTGTAACATAATTTAGAGTTTGTTATAATTGGGGAAATGTTTTAATGTCGCAGTATAAGTACTGAATTTTTTAAGAAATTTAAGAATGATTCCATTTACAGCCCAGTTACAGTTTAGATGTACTGTAGTTATATATGTAACTTTTGTTATTTGTAACTGTAACTGACTATAGATTGATAGTTTTTGTTACGAGTTTTTCTGAAAAAGTTACATACTTTTAACTACTTGATCTAAAGAAATTTCCTATTCCAAGCACTTTTCTCCAAAAGAAATTCACTATTCCAAGTGCTTTTCTCCAATATTTTTACAGAACTGAGTTGTTTTTGTTTGATTTAAAAGATGACTGGCAGAATATGGTGAAGTCAATGGGGAAAGGTAAAGGTGGATTTTGTGCTAGGTAATTTGTTACCTGGAAGATTATGTCTTGTTGATTTCAACTTCTTGACCTCAATGTTCTTGGTAAGAATTTGCTTCTTCTTCTTTTTCTCGTTCTCCTCACTGTCTATGGCGTGCTCGATTTGTTTTGCTCGATCTAGGGGATTTGTGCGAACTGGTGTGGTCTCCCTGTGTTATTTTGTTTTTTTCTAACCTTTATTGGATGTGAAGTTGATCATTATGGGCCATGATGTATTTTGCAGTTATGGCCTGTATAATTTTTTGTATTGTTCTATGGGCTAGAATTCGAGCCCATGTAGTTTTGTGATCTGACTAGTCAGAGAAAAAAATATGTAGCATTTTTTGTGTCCTTTGGATCTTAATCTAACGGTAGGAAAAAATCTGGGTGATTTTGACCCAAGGATTTGTCGACAAAGACATAGCTAGTTCCTTTCCCTTGTAGTATTACTCCATTATTAAAAAAAAATGGAAATACATGGATAACGAGCGAGTGCTTCGGTTTCGTACATGATGGGCTCTGTATGAGATTTGGACATTGCGGAGGGGACAAAGAAATTGGTCAGGGCATCAGGCCCAGAAAAGTTAGATGGGCTCAACTATAGGCCACTCTAAACTAAAAGTCAGGTGGGCTTGGCACAGATTTTTCCTTTTCGTTTTATGCTTGCTTGGTTGTTCTACGACTAATAACAATTAACACGAAAATGCCAGGCGTCAAATGCCCGATGGGCCCGAGAAAAATCGGGCGCCGCGCAGCCCGCGCCAGGCGTCTCCACCACGTGCGTCCAGTTGCAACAGTCTTCCGGATATAACGGAAACACCATATTAAGCGAATCCGTTTTATTTTTTTTCCACCAATAATATTGCAATAATCTTGTTTAACTGGTCCTTATACAACAACAATCCCTCGTATCCCTTATCATAATTGTACTATTGAAACATACATCCACTTGTTTTTGACCACGATCATGAAGAAACCGCATTGGAGAAGAGTGGATCTATCCCACCCTAACACCGTCTCGCCATCCCTCAACATTTACTTTGTGCTGTTGTCCATAGAGAGGGTATGCAATTTTCAAAAGTTTTATGGTCATATTTTAGGAGTTCAAGTTCGTAGACTATTTATAAATGGATTGAGACCCTATTTATATGGGAATAAAATTTTTAAATCCCTATCACATCGGATATTTAGACACTAATTATAAACATTAAACGTAGACTATTAATAAAACCTATTCATAATCTTAGACTAATTCGCGAGACGAATCTATTTAGCCTAATTAATACACGATTAACTTATGTGATGCTACAGTAAACATTCTCTAATTATAGATTAACTAGGCTTAAAAAATTTGTCTCGCAAATTAGTTTTCATTTATGTAATTAGTTTTGTAAGTAGTCTATATTTAATACTCTAAATTAGTGTCTAAATACAGAGACTAAAGTTAAGTCTCTGGATCCAAACACCAGACTGGAGCCTAGTACTACCTCCATATTTTAATGTATGACGTCGTTGACTTTTTATCTAACGTTTGACCATTCGTCTTAATCAAAAAATTTATACAACTATCATTTATTTTATTGTGACTCGATTCATCATTAAATGTTCTTTAAGCATGATATAAATACGTTCATATTTATACGAAAAATTTGAATAAAACAAGTGGTTAAACGTTGGTCGAAAAATCAACGGCGTTATATATTAAAATACATAGGGAGTATCAGATAACCATGCTCAGACAGAAACCATGTGTTGGAGCACCCAATGTTTCGCGGTCGTTATGGGATTCTCATTATCTGCAGATGATCCCTGTCCTCGCGGTCGTACTAGTCCTCAAACAACAACTTTGCACCGTACTGCTGCGTTCGGTAGTACGAGTGTACGAACAATATCGACATCAAACCGTTGCCACTCCCACACGTATCGCTTGGCCGCACGAACGCGTACACAAGCCTAACGCAACACGCCCATGTGTGTAACTGTACCACACTGTTTAGACTGGTCCATGGGCCAGCCAATGCCATCCCCACGAACGAAAAATAGTTTTTGACCGGTCCGGAACGTCCTTTTTAGCCTGCCGTGTCACGTCTTAAAGCTCTTAATTATCCGATCACGAGAAGGGAATACAAAAACACACACAAACACGCATAATATGAACGAGCAGTATTGCGACCGTGACGCGCAGGATGGAATTCCAGGTAAAACTACAAGGTAGGAGTCGCAGATTGCAAGCTTGACTCGACCACTCCGGTCACTGGCCTAGCTGTAGCTAGCTTGCTGACGCTCACGTCTAGTAGTACTGGTCGGCTGCTGGCCGAGAGGGGCACTGCTGCCGACGTGACATACGAAGCTTCTTTTATCGATGATATATATAGGTAGACCGTCCCTCTTATTTAATAAATTAATAAAAAAATAAAAAAATTAGTCACATGAAATATTATTCATATTTTATCATCTAATAACAACAAAAATACTAATCATAAAAAAATTTTCTAATAAGACGAACGGTCAAACATTGAACATAAACAATACAAAACTACACTTATTTTAGAACGATAGTACTGCTACTCCTCGTCCTGAAATAAATAAACTGATATAAAATAAGATACTCCCTCCATTTCAAAATGTTTGACACCGTTGACTTTTTAGCACATGTTTGACCGTTCGTCTTATTCAAAAATTTTTATGAAATATGTAAAATTATATGCCTACATAAAAATATATTTAACAATGAATCAAATGATAGGAAAAGAATTAATAATTACTTAAATTTTTTGAATAAGACGAGCGGTCAAACATATGCTAAAAAGTCAACGGCGTCAAACATTTCGAAACGGAGAGAGTATATTTTACTAGTAGTATTATAAATCTGAATAATTTGATTTATTTTGGGTTAAAAGGAATACATGTTTAGGTTCGTGCACCCATGTTTAGTCGTAAACTAGCTGCACTAGTATTTTCCAGACACTGTTGTGTTGGGAGTATTCCGTACAAAAGTAGGTGTTTAATGAAATATAACTAGAATTGTAACTGGTGAAGAGTTGATTAGAGTTGATGCCTTTGGTGTTGTGTCAGCGTGCGCGTCTCACTCTCACCCCTGTCGGCATTTGGAGTGGCCAATCATGCAAGCGTCCATGTACACAAACAATCTCGACGACCCAGGTGAAGACTTGGACCGGGCAGCGGCCTTCACAACTTGGATCATTCGGCGACACGGCGCATCAAAATCATTCGTCGACTGACAGCTATATGCTCGGACATACTATATGCGCACACACAACAAACGGAATTTACCACAAGTCGCTCGAGTGGTGAGTTTGGAATTCTTGCTAGATATAGCTAGCTTCAGCCGGTAACGAAAATAAGTAATCGTTTCTTCCATTGCTACTTTTCCACGTGCAGTTGCCAGGTTGTGAACTTATCATGTTGCTCTCTCGAGTCGCCGTCGTAGACTGAGTAAGAGTAACATATACACTCGTGTGCTAGACATTTTGAACGATTTTCTTAGAACAGGTGGAGCAAATTACTCTTTAAAGAAGATATATAAAGTGTCAAGTAAAATGACAGCTATCTATAAAACCATACGAAATAAGTGGAGCAAATTACATAAGTGTAAATGTTTATAACATTTCGAAGAAAATAACCTCGAGCGAACACGATGACACGACGAGCGGCACGCTTCCTCTTATCGTGTGTGTAAAACTGATCGAGACGCCACCTTCGTGAGCTTTCCTTTCCGAAAACGACACGAGCCTAAAAAAAGGCGAAGTGGGATGCGAGAGAACATTCCGTATCGCGCACTAGTAAAGAGTGGGTCCCACAGACAAGGCGACCTAAACGTGGGCCCCACAGACCCCATGGCCCACGTGCCAGTGACGCAGCGGCACACGCGGGGGGTGGGAATCCAGTCCGGTCAGACTCCACCATCTGTCGTTTAGAACCTCCCAGTGGGGCCCACTTGGCAGTGAAGTGGGAGGGCCTCGCAGTGGGGTCCACTTGGCAGTGAGGAGGAGTGGGGGGATGGTGGTCTCCACCCGCGTCCCCCCGCGGGCTCCGCGTGGTCAACTCGCCGGAAGCCGAAATAGGCAGGCAGGAGGCCGCCCAAAAAGGCGAACACCTTGCGCGCACCACGCCACCACCTCCACCTCCACTTCGCTCGCTCCCGCTCTCGCCATGGCCGCCGCGCCCGCGCCATGAGGTGGCCGCCACCGCCACCGCCACGCCACTCCTCTCCTCTACCCTGCCGCGCGGTGCTGTTTCCTCGTCCGTCCCCATGCTCCCGCGCTGCCTCGTCGCCGTCGCGGTTCTCCTGCTCGTCGCGTCCCACGCCGCGCGGGGGGAGGAGCGGCGGCGGCTGCTGCTCGCGAGGCAGGACGTGCTCGCGCTCCACGGCCTGCGCGGGTCGATCGGGGTGCGGGCGGAGTACTGGCCGGTGAAGCGCTATCCCTGCAGCTGGACTGGCGTCGTGTGCCGCGCCGGGCGCGTCGCGGAGCTCCGTCTCACCGGGCTCCGCCGCACCCGCGCGGGTGCACGGAGCCAGGGGTTCACCGTCGACCCGCTGCGGGAGCTCACGGCGCTCGAGGTTTTCAACGCCTCGGGGTTCCCGCTCCCTGGTCGGATCCCGGCGTGGTTTGGCACCGGCCTCCCGGCGTCGCTGGAAGTCTTGGACCTCCGCTCCACCTCCGTCAATAGCACGCTTCCAGCCGATCTTGGCATGTCCGGGAACCTGACGACCCTTGACCTCGCCGGTAATAGCATCTCCGGCTCGATTCCGGCGACATTGTTCCTCATCAAGGGCCTCAAATTTCTCGATCTTTCTGACAACAATCTCACCGGGGAGCTACCAAACGTGTCTATCTCTGCCGGTGATGGAACCGGAGTTTTCAACGCTTCCGGGAATTCGTTGTACGGTGCCATTGGAGATGTGCTTGGGCCCCTCAGGAAGAGATTTCGTCAGGTTGATTTGTCGAGAAATTACTTCACTGAGGTGATTGGAACTGGATTTGGGAACAGCTCCGATGGAGCAGTGGACATAAACATGAATTGCTTGTCCGGATCAAGCCAGCGAAGCCAGGGGGATTGTGAAGCATTCTACAAGAGGATTGGTGTTTCATTGCCAGAGCCACCAAATGCATTGCCATCACCAAGCAAGAAAGGGGTGAAGTGGAAGTATGTACTTGCCGGAGTCCTGGCAGCCGCAGCATTTTTGGTGGTTCTTTTCCTTGTAGCATTAGTGTTCTGCTTGATGAAGAGTGGGGGACGGCGACCGAGAGGAAGAGGGTTGGAGCAGAATGAGGAAGGGATTCGTTCGGGGCGCAGGAGTAGCAGCGTTAATCCTGTGATGCTGTCATCCATGGCAGCATCACCGGCAGCAAATGGTGCTGTGAAAGGTCTGCCTACCATTGTAGATGAGTTCACCTATGAGCAGTTGCATAATGTTACTGGGGGTTTTGGGGATGACAATCTTGTCAAGCATGGGCACTCTGGGGCCATTTACCTTGGTGAACTGGAGAGTGGCTTCAATGTTGTTGTCAAAAAGGTTGATCTGAAGAGCAGTAATAAGAACTTGGGGGAATTGGGCTTCCTTGCAAAGAATTCCCATGGGAGGATTGTTCCATTGCTGGGGCATTTGGCCACAGATGAGGAGGAATTGCTGGTCTACAAGTACATGGCAAAGGGAGACTTGACTTCCGCATTGCACAGGAAGTCAGTGGATGCTGAGGAGGGGCTGCGCTCGTTGGATTGGATAACAAGGCTGAAGATTGCCATTGGTGTTGCTGAGGCATTGTGCTTCCTGCACGATGAGTGTAGTCCACCATTGGTTCACAGGTATGCCTAGTGATATTATTGGCCTGTTAGCTAATTTGCTAATATAATGTGCAGCTGATTGGTTTATAGTTAGTGAAAATATTTTAATTGCAAAAAGCATATGATAACTGTGCTAAGAAAAGTTTGAACATTAACGCCATCATAAAAAAGAGCGCGGAAGTTCCACATGTTATTTAGCTCACATGAATTGCCAATTTAATGAAGAAGCTGCACTGATTATGGCAAGTGCGTGAGTGAAAGAAACAGGACAATTTAATATATTAATTTAAAACTGTTTCTAGTTACACATTTGATAGTCTTCTACTTAGCCTCTTGTGGCCCTATTGCATCAGTTGGCCCACTATTTCTTTTCTAAGAAGTATAGCTGAAAGGGGAAAACAATATGTGCGAAGCTTCCCTGACAAACTGTTTACTTGTGAGGACATGAAATCCCACATTTAAAATATAATATTATACGGACTATTTCACCAAGTTGCATTGGATCCATATCAGCACTACCAATACTATCTGACTGTACTTAATTGATTTTTAATGATTTTCCCCCAGACGAACTGCTTGCCTTTCTGAACTTTTAGAATGTTGCTTCTTGTTATTCATGTGCATATGGCTTGTTCACAACTTCTCATGTGCAATGTATCGTAGGAAATCAGGAAAGTTTCATGCAAGTATAAGTACTGTACAGTATGTATAATTCATTATATGATTATACACTGTCTAACTATGTGAGAAACTCATGTCTCTATCATGAAAAAAAATTGCTGCAGTTATTTTATGGAAACTTTATCTTTTGAGGTTTAGTGTCATCAATCATTGTAGGTAACTCAATGCACTAAATATCGATGTATTTGGTGCTAGTCATCTTTTATTCCAGCTGCATGACTTAGCTGCTTCATCTTTCTATTTCATTTTATTTTACTCTGCAGTTCTTATTTGATGCATGCTGTTCAAGTTCTTGGATGTTTTAATTACTTTCAAGCCAATCTTTTTTCCCCTTATCTTTTCATTATAACTGTAGAGATATCCAGGCAAGCAGTGTGCTTCTTGATGACAAATTTGAAGTGTGTCTTGGAAGTTTGAGTGATGTATGCACTCAACAAAGTGAGGGAAGCAGGAGTTTCTTCTCCAGGATGTTGAGATCATCGAAGTAAGACTTTTATATTTTATCGTCTCCTCATTTTTATGCATGAGTTTAGCATGGGTACAACTGTTCTTATGATCTTACCAATTGCTCTGAAAATTGAGTCCATCATGGCATATTCCTTTTAAAAGAAACTTGATTTTATGATCACCTGAACGGTGCTAACTTAAGGGTGCCTTTAGCACTAAAAAGTACTAAGACAAAAGCAATAACTTCTTTATGAAGTTAACACTTTAACCTAAGTTTAGTTATTGAACTGAAGGTAATGTACTGGATTTTGTTAACAAAATATGGCGGCAGTGTTTTTTTTTTGGGTTTGAGTATGTATAAGGGGACACATATTCATTTGTAAGTGTTTCTCCTTACATGAATTCTTGTCAAATGACTTCTAAAAAGGAAGTTCTCATCAAGAGTTAGTCTTGTAAATTAATGGCCAGACCCACACAAATAAAAGAAGAAACCCTACCACCTGCAGATCATAAAATATGGCAACCCACTTGTTATTTTGTTAACATGGCAACATCACGTTTGCTATGAAACTTTAGTCTTTGTTTAAATCTGTAAAGAACATCGGGGCCTTGCTTAAACACTGATATTCGTCTCTTTCTTGTGGCAGGTCTCTTGACAAGAACGCATCAGGTGTGTAAAGCTTCTGCATAACTTTTTTATGGATATTTTATAATCTCTACCATTATACTATACAGCTATTTGTGTAGGAATTCTAATGCGCAAAATAAAGATAACCTAACATTACTGTATGTATCTCTCACCTAACAGGTCCACCAGCTAGCTGCTCGTATGATGTATACTGCTTTGGAAAGGTGCTACTGGAGCTAATCACCGGGAATTTTGGTGTGAGCGGCTCAAATGACACTGGTTCAGAGGAGTGGTTGGCAAGAACACTGGATTTTATTGACGCCCATGACAAGGAGGGTCTTTCAAACATTGTAGACCCTTCACTTGTAGTAGATGAAGACCACCTAGAAGAGGTATGGGCAGTCTCCATTGTTGCGAAGACATGCCTGAACCCAAAGCCCTCCAGGCGTCCACTGGCTCGGTACATCCTGAAAGCATTGGAGAACCCGCTGCGGGTGGTGAGGGAGGAATTACAGTCGAATTCATCACTCACGAGTACTTCATCTCGAAGCTCTTGGCATTTTGCTTTTCATGGGGACTCGCGCAGGAGCTCGGAGCTCAGGCCAACATTGGGGCAGTCAGCCAGGAAGCAGTCAGTGAAGTCACAAGGAAGTGACGAGGATGAGGACGAGGAGGAGGATTCATTCTCCTTCAAGAGGGCTTCAAGGGAGATTCTCCCTGACCCGGTAGAGTTGGAAAAGGATGCAGTTGTGTAGAATTCACCACAGATTAGCAATACATGCTACTGAGATTTCATCTCAGTGTGTATAATTCATCCTCTGATGCGCATCTCCTGATGCCTCTAGGTGAAAAAACTGTGCATATAGGAGTTAGACTTGTTTCTCTTTTTCCTTTTCATTTCAGTGTTGTGTAATCTGTAACTGAGATTTTGAGAATAAGTGGAGCACAAGGGTGCGCGGTGCTTGAAATGCAAGCGGCCAGAAATTTTCGTAGACAACCATTTTGTCATTCTGGACTCTGGAGTGTGAATCGAAGCACAAATTTTATAGTGTAAGCCAAAGGATCAGAGAGATGAATGAATCGATCTGCGAAATGAAATTATATGTTGCTGATCCAGTCACTGCCGCCTGTTACAAGAACATTCTTCCTGACTATTTTCTGGGTTTTCTGTTCTCTGCTGCTTGGAAGAATAAGATTGTTGTCTGTGTTAAAAAAACACACAATAATTTAGTTTCATATTACTACAGTAGAAAACAATAAGTTACTCGCGAACGGATATTTTAGCACTAAAAGAGAATTAAAGAAAAAAAGAGGTCCCACCGAGATTTGAACTCGGGTTACTGGATTCAGAGTCCAATGTCCTAACCGCTAGACCATGGGGCCATTTTGAACACACGGATTTTTAATCTCTATATATCCATACTTGCATCTAGTCTAGCATGGGCCCCGGCCCATGATACGTTCACCTGAAAGCCCACTCATGCGACGACTTGTCAAAGCCCAACAAGCGAAGAAGCCGATGCTTATAGAGGAAGCCCGGCTACCACCACGCCAACGCGCTCATTTCGTTCATTCTAGGGTTTACAACTCACGACCTCCGCCGCCGCCGCCATGGGACACTCCAACGTGTGGAACTCGCACCCCAAGAACTACGGCCCCGGATCCAGGGTTTGGTAATCCTCTCTACTCTACTCGCGATCCCCCGCGCCGTGTTTTCATTCAGTTCGGTGACGAACCATAGGAGTATTTCTTCTATCTGTGTGCGTAGCATCGGGTCAGATTTGTCAGATTTTGTGGCGTGAATTCGCATGTTGCTAGATTTTATACTGTAGTAGTTTATCTCTTGCTTCCGGTAGAAAGGTTCGTGCGCCCTTTTTCTTGGATTGCTTGACGAGTGCTTACGGATTTGTGGTGTGGATTTGTTGTTGCAGCCGTGTTTGCGGCAACCCGCATGGCTTGATCCGGAAGTACGGGCTCATGTGCTGCAGGCAGTGCTTCCGCAGCAACGCCAAGGACATTGGCTTCATCAAGGTATACTCTTCATATTTTTTTTAGGTTGCTAGTTGCTTCCTGTAATATGCAGGCTCAAGTTAGCAGTTTTACTTTTTGATGGTGAAATTGTTTGGTGCAATAGTGTTGCATCCCGTGTGCGGTGTTGTGGTAGTTCCTAACGACGTAGCGATAATGTCACAAACTGTGCCGCGTTGTTCCTCTTCCACGTTTTATTTCCTGCTTGACAGCTTGTGTATTGTGTTATCCGTTGTCGCCTCATGTTCCCATTCTCATTTTGTCAGTTCTGTTCTGGTCGAGCTGATATGAATAATTACAGATCATAAGATGGCCAGTTAGAATTGGAATTGATGCACACACTGCTTTTGTTTCTGAGATTATCTTTTGCAGATGCCAATACTATAACAATATTAGTTAATTTTGAAAACCTGTCTTATTTGTTATCTTCACCACTTATCCAACATAGTATGAGTATGTGCCATGTGCCCCATGTGAGCTCATTAGCTATCACTTGTAGCTGCCTTCTAAATGTCAACACTTCAAACGTATTGCAAACATCTCTCTGTAGTTCAACGAATAATAGGAGGATCTATTGCTAATCAATAGACTACAACTATCATCTTTCATATGGGTTCCCTTCTTTTATGTTTTTCCTTTTTGATATGTTGCTTCCAATTAAAGCAGGGTAGTTTCCTTTTGTTAAAAAAAAGTTGCTAACCACAATTCAAAGGCTACCTCTTGCTTAAAATATTAATGCACCCGATTTCATGCTAGAATTGTGGAGATGTTAGAATTTTCCACATCGTCTCATCTTATTGTTATGGAATACTTGAATGAATGTGGTTATTTACTTATTTTATCGTGCAGATGTAATGCACCCGATTTTATGCCAGAATTGTGATGTTAGAATTTTCTACATTGTTTTATCTTATTGTTCTGGAATACTTGAATGAATAAGCGGTTATTTAGTTATTTTTTTGTGCAGATGTTTGTGTTATCTAGCTTTTTGCTGTTATTTTAATCCCTGGACCTCTCAAAGTGCATCTTATTCATTTGCAGTACCGTTGAAAGTTGGGAGCTCAAGTGGAATGGGAGCTTAGATCGGGAAAATTTTTATGGAAGTGTAAAAGCCTTGTCGAGTATTATCCCTTTTGATACAATTGTCGTCTTATGATATGTAACAGATTATTGATATTTGAAAGTGAGTTATGGTCTGATGGACAATACATGTTCTGGTATTAATTCTCATATTATCGAGCATGTTCTAGTGCTGTAATAGAAGATGATTATATGCTATCTTGAGTAGCAAGCTTCCCTTATTTCTGATGCTGGCACTTTGACCCTTAACCGGTCTCAGCTTGCTTTGATATCTTATATGCTTTATTATTAGATTGTTTTGATAGTTCAGGCTGACAATTTGGCCGGGTACAATAGGCAACGGCCATTCGGCCAACGGTGCAAAAATGCCAGGTGGCACTGCACAAAGATTTCAACTCGACATATGGGACAATATGGAGATATTTCACAGCTGGATAGAGTATTTCGTCTAATCTTACTGTGTTTTCTACAACAAACAGTAAATTGATGGGTTTAGAGGTGATTTTTTAACTTTCGTGAAAGTATAGGGTATAAAATGGAACCTGCGAAGGAGCAACAAATCTTCAATTGAGCGTCTGAACCTATAAACAATAAACTAATAAGATATATTAGTATAAAGAATAATATTGATACTATAATTTACTCTTTTTCCCGGACTATATAATGTACTCTACGATACATGTTTTTTTAGATAAAGTTTATTCTACACGTTGTCCAAACAATATTCTTGTATTTCCATTAATGCCATGGTAGAGTATCAGACGAGCCGAGCTCCAAGCCTCACATAGCATTGCTCGAGCCGAGCTCGAGCCTAACAACCCTCAAGAGTTCAATACTAGGATAGGGCGATAGGCTCCAGAGCCCCGACTCGGCTTTGAGCCTATTCAGGTTGGCTCGCTCGAGCTCGGCTCGTTCACCGCCCTTTGGTCCCAAATTCCCCTCCGCCGCTCACCGCCACCCTCTCCATCTCACTAGCTCCGGCGGCGAGCATGCCCTAGCTTCGTCTCCATCGCAATCGCAGCCTCCTCGAGCAGGTTTGGATCCAGAGGCGACGCCGCCGGCCTCCATCGCATCGCGGTTCGAATCGAAGGTATTTCATTCTTCTTTTTCTCTAGTAGCTCTTCCTCCCCCTCGCTCAGCTTGGATTGAACATCCATTCAGAATTCGATTGTTGTTTGTTTCAATCCAATTAATCCATCCAGTTTCCTGTCGATTTCATGCGTGATGCAGTACTAATCGAAGCAATTTGTTTCCAGGATCAAGAAAAATTGGGGGTTCAGCTGAGCTCTATGCCCCAAGTGAGGCCTGCCTCTGCCGAGAAGCCGACTCGGCAATGGGCGGCATGGACACGCCAAGAGGAACAGAGCTTTTTCAATGCGCTGCGCCTGGAAGGAAAAGTAAGACGCATCGATGTTATGATGCTACGCTGTTTCTTGCAATCTGATCAATGTGTGCGCTGATCGATAGATGCAACAATAACTTTTCCTTTGTGTCAGAATTTTGAGAAGATCACGCTCCGTGTCCAGAGCAAAAACAAGGATCAGGTACACCATTTTCGGCCAAGAGGTGTAAGATGTTCATATGATATTTAACATTCTGTATTGATACGTTAGGACGTTGAAGCAGTGGTAGATACACATTAGATCATAAATTTAGTATTTTTTTATGATATTTGTCGTTCTTTATTTAACCAATTAGGAAATTTGAATGAAAGGAAGATTCAAGTTAGGCTGTAAATTTTAGTTCTACATGCAATGTGCTAAATAACTTTCACTATGATGGGATGCCAATTAGAATTGAATAAATCTATTTTGCTTTGAGAAAAAAAAATCAGAAGTAACTGTCATGGGCAAATCTCATTTTCAACCATGGTCGTTGTTGTTGCTTGACATAGCACCAGCATCCTGTAGCATATACCTACATTCTTGCTGATTTTCGTGGTTCAACTGGAGAAGGCTGCAGGGTGGATGGATTACAACATCCCTCCTTTTAGATTCCCATCCAGATTGTGTACTTTCACTTGGAGCCGATTTATCTTCCTCACTTGCAATTGATCCCTCTTCTTTACTAAAGCTGATTTCATCTTTTTTTCAAGTTTCTATTGATATACTTGCAGCCGATCTGTTATGGGAAACTCAAACTTCAGAACATGATGTTTTTTTTTTCGGGAATACGCCAGAGGCGAATTTTTTCCATTAAGAGAAATAAAGGTTATTTACATTTAAAGAAAGAGCAGCAGGGGACAGGGACTGGAAAGCATTACAAAATCAAAGGCCTAATTCTCGCAGCACATTTTGGCTACCATGATTCTCTCGGAAGAGTAGGGCGGGGATTGCTGAATTCGCTTGACGCCAAAGCGTTGCCTCTTGAGCCATTTCCCTCGCCACATCTGTCCATGCCCTAAAACTTTGGTTGAAGACTCTGGCATTCCGCTCCTTCCAGATCGTCCAAGCCACAAGTGTTGCTACCGTATCGAAACTCCGGCATTGAGACTTGAGACTCTCGGATTTTCAACCGGCTGCTACACAGCCACTGGTTGAAAGAAGTTTCGTTCATCGGTAGGCACTCCGGGTGACCTATTGCTCTCAATGCCAAAACATGATGTTTAGAATTGGCACTAAGTTTTATTCAGGCTTTAGATGTATCTCGATATTATCCCCCTATTTTGTCCATCTTTGGCCATAAAGCACACTCCTCAGCAGCTTACCACCTAAGATTCTGCACCTGGAGGCTGGAACATTTAGAGAGGAATTTTCCTGCACTGCTCGTTCCTGATCATCTAAGCATGTTCTGTTGACTATGTGGGCACTGGACATGCTTAAGTGATAGCTGCCAATAAATCAGTACAGTTTTCTCTCTGATACATAGACACTTAATTATCTCTCAATCCTCACATAGCTAGCATAAGTATGTTCATCATATATAAAGTTATAGATAATATTTGCATCAATTAGAGAAAACCTGAATTTCTTCTGTTGGACTGAAAATTCATTGCCTTTTATTTTTTGCAATATAGGTCAGACATTATTACTATCGTCTTGTTCGACGCATGAAGAAACTTCTTGGTCCTGAGTTCTCACTTGATGCAAAAAATTCAAAGGACACTGTTGCTGCTATGCTCCGCTGGTAACGGAATGAATGTCTGCATGCAAATTAATCTGATTAGATGTGGTCCCTACTGCTTGATATTATTTATATAACATGATTGCAAAGGGTAGTGTTTGGCCTCAAAAATTTGCTGAGCTATCTTCATGATATATATCCTTTTCCTAGTAGGCTAGGAACCTAGGACTGTAGTAGGTACGTGATCCTTTTAATTTACAGAGGACACGTCTATAATTTACTGCTATAATGCCTAGTAGGTTAGAACTATGGGGCCTTCATACCAATACTGTATAGACACCTTAACATATTTACTGCTTCTGTTTTAGATTGTCAGACCTGTCCCATAAAATGGTCTCTGAAATTTTGGTGGCATACTTCGTGGTTCAGAATATTCTTCTGATGAAAGATATATTTTTTATTTCCATGCAGATTGCATTCTAGTCTATGCACAAGAAAGATACTGTCTGTTGTTTATTGTCATTGCTTTTGATTTGATCTGATGTTGTTTCTTTTACATTGCATGGAAAACTCTCCGATACTGAATTTGTTCTATGCAGGTGGTCTCTGCTTGAAAAATTTAGCTGCAGTGCATCAAAACTGCATCTGAAGCCTCGGAGATTCAAAACATTCGTAGAAGCATTGGTGCATGACCATTTGTTACTTTCCCACTCCTTTGTAACTGTAAAAATGTTCATTTTTGTTTTTTTTTTCTCATGTGATATATCCAACTTTATAGGGAAATCAACTGCTAAAGGACAGGAATAAAACCAGAAAAAAGTGTCCACGAGGGGATGAGTGCCTTTCTTCTTCATCTCCAATTCTGAACAGGACTGCTGGAAATGAATCTTCCTCAGTAAAACTCCTACCTGTGGATGTCTCAAATGGTAGCAAAGTAGCATCTTCAAAAGGGGCAGTTTTCAAGAGGGGTGCAGAACCAAATTCCAATAACAAGTCAGGTTCAACTAAATGGGACCTCTCTGCCACAATTACTGTGAAACAGAAAAGGAGAGCAGGTGACACTGCTTTTTTTTTTTTTGGTTTCATGTGGCACACCCTTTACTTTTTTCATTTTATGCGATATGCAGTCTGTATGTCTTAGCTAAATGTCGATAATCCAATAAATTTTATTATGTGAGCTTAAAGTGTCGAATTTTCCTTACAATAGTTTTGAGAGCAGTGGACTTGTATTTTAGGTGGTGGCATTGCATCTACTGCATATAAAAAATGGGAGAGAGATGCCATGGCTGGTGTTTCTTTAGTCGCTGATGCAGCTGAAGAGCTTGAGCGCAACACAGTGAATGTTGATGCAAGGACATTATCTCCCTCATCAAACAATGTTTGTACCGTTGATGGTATTCTTTCTTATCACTGCTCTCTGACTAGAAATGGCTGGTACTGGTTCCTATTGTCTTGATGTTTTATCCTGCACTGGCAGATCCAGGCACAAATCGTATGAATGAAGCAGATCAACAAGCACCTGCAAAGCTGAAATTGCAGTTATTTCCAATCAATGAAGCCACACGAAAGGCATTGGAAAAGGTAAATATGCCTGTTTGTTGCCACCAAGCTGCAATATGAAATTATGAATCATGTGTTTCCTGCAGCAGCTGTGTTAGCACAACAGCTATTACTGATTTACTATTGGCTCGGACACTCAAATCACTGTGGTTGATAAAATTTCTCAGGATAAATGGGACTAATGGAATGTGGAGTGCAAATAACCTTACTAGCACTATTTACCTTATGAATTTTCGATGGTGTTTGAGATATTGATAGTCCTATCTTTTTTCAACAGGATGAACATAATCCACATCTGGAACTCACAGTTAGCGCTAGGAAAAAAATATCTTCTGTACTAGAACATCTTAACCGCAAGTGGGGCAGCTCAAACATTGCGTCTGGAGAGCTTTTGCTTTTTCCATATTGTGCTCACCGAGAAGATTTAGCTACCTATCAGAGATGGACCACAAGAGATACAGTTGTGGTGGCTGATGTTTTTCTTTCTGTGAATAGCCCGCCTGTTTTTCGATTAAGGTATGGATGAATTCCTGGGTAACAAACTATAATATTGTGATAAGACCATTTGTTGAAAGCCGTAACAAGTGCTAACTGTTGTCGCCAATAAGGTATGGTTGGTTTTCCCTTGCTGAGCTTGAAGGAGGAAGTGGAATATCTTCAACTCATTTTAAGAATTGCATGATGCCTGAAGACATCCATGCCAAATCTCCCTCAGACGCTTGTGTGCAGAAGGATGGTACTTTTCTCAATAGTTGTGCTCCTGAGGAACACCTTTGTAATTCAAAAGATCGGCCGGCATTATTTCTTGCTATGACATTTAGTACAGGCAAGAGCGCTAAGGGGCAAGAGCAGCACAGTGATTTTCCCGCCTCATGGTTTAGCAGGCAGAAGCAAGAAAAAGATTCCACAAACCAAGTTTTAGAGGTCCAACTTCAGTTCCATCCATATTTTTGTCAAGTGAACATTAATCTGCTATCTTCTAATTGCTTCTGTTATACTTCAGGCTAATCTGGGGATGGATTGTGCTATAATATCTGAAGGAGAGTGGGCAGATACCCTTACTGATATCAGTGTTGGATACTTACTAACAGAAGCATCCATAGGTACTAATACAGATTGTCCAGGGACAGCTATTGCCAAAAACACATTGTTTCTTGAGAATCCCTGCAGCTATGATTCATTTGATGCTGCTGTTGCTCTTCACGCTTCTCGTCATAAAACAGTAGAGCAGCCAGCCCTTGCATCCCATTCGACCATCTGGGGTGCTGAAGAAACCTGTGATGAGTTCAGTTTTAACTTGGCAGCATCTAGGAAGCAAGAAAGTTCAAACACTTCAGCTAGCAGCTGTCCTGGTAGTGATAGTGGTGTTCTTCCTTCAACCTCACAAGGGTTTCAAGGCTTTCTTCAGGTTTGTTTCCATCTCTTGGTCTCTTGTAGAATAAAACGACTTTTTATACATCAATGTTGTTAATCTATGATTTATTTCATGTTTGCAGGACTTAGCAGGAGCAAAGGTTGCTGATAATCCTTGTATGGATGATGCCAAAGATATGGAGGCACTTTGTGCCAATTCTCCACCTCGAAGTAAAAGTGATTCTGGGTTAAAGGATCAATCTCTAGCTGACTTATATTGGGTACTAGACAGATATCCTATCCCTGCCTGTTTTAGTTTCTAGTATAATCTATCAACACAGATCATAACTTACTATGTCTTCTCTTTGGATAGGCTGATTCACTTGGACCACTGGACTTAGAGATACCATCCGTGAGATACCAAGCTGAGGACTTACTCTTAGGAGACAGTCAGAATAGTTGGAATCGCATGATGGTGAATAGCCTGGATGCGTTTCGAAACCTGTCATTCTTCATGGCAGATAAGAATGACTCAATCCCATCCATCATGTAGAACTGTGAATTCTGGGCGCCGTTCATTGCTCTCGTCGCTTGCTATATTGGCTAGTGAAGTACTACCAAGGATGCATCTCGCTGTAGAGGAGGGTTTGCATTGTCCAAGTGAAGCTGTTTGTGGGAAATCCAACAGCTGCGGACTTGCTGTTCTTTGCAGTCAAGAGGGACGCATTCTGCTGTGTAAGATATATAGTAAGAGCTGTACTAAGATGTTACATGTATGTCGTGTAAATTGTGGTGTCCCTGTACAAAAAGCTCACACAATCTCTTGGTTACAGTAAAGCTTCTGATGACTGCCGTGTATACAGGTATGCTTCTGATCAATTGCCCTGAACTGTTCTCAGTTTTGCTTTGATATCTGAAGTTTATCGGCATACTGTGTTGTTTATGATAGTATGCGAGCAGCGTTTGTTTCTTCAAGGCGACGCCAGAATTTTCTGATGGGTTTGGTTAGGCTGGAAACCTGACCAGTACATGCGAGATCGCTCAGTTGGGCTTCTCCCAATTAATTTTGGGCCATACCCATAGGTAATCTTGTGCTTCTCCCTTCGGCCAGATTCCTCAATGTTCGCTGAATATGTAACAGCGATTCAAGGACATACTCAGACATAAACTCAGGCCCTAATCACAACCTATATAACAAGCTACATCAAGTAAGAAGTGTAGAATAATTGGCTCATAAGGACTCGTCAACAGATGCAACTTCCCAAATCGGGTAAAGGTGTAATCTGATCGTCGTAGAAGTAGGAACAATGGCACCAGAGATAATATCGTTATTCGTAAAGTAAAGAACTAAGATTCACAAATACCATCAATATCTATTGGAGAGGCAGCGAATCGTCCATTTTGTTTCCCTTTTTTTCTCTCTCTCGCCTCTCTATTTCCTCCACCATGAAGAACACCTGACATGTGCATGCCATCAGCAATGCCAAACCAGTACGTCAATTTGATACCATGAATTCGTGCCTTCATGGCCACATCGACGACGACATCGAGCAAAGCATGGTGATTGGTGAGCGTAGCACGACAGTACGTACGAGGGCCCTGATGCCGACACCATGCATGCCCTTGCGGGCAAGCAATCAGATTGCAGTTGCCGCTAAATTAAAGAGGATTTTCAATGGTAGCAGCAGCAGCAGCAGCAGAAGAGCACGCAACTGCAGCCGTCCGTCGTGCGGTTCATGGTGGCTACAAGTTAGAGAGAGAGAGAGAGAGTAGAGAGATTTAACTGGGGCAAATGAGTGACCCAAGGCATGGGGATCTCATGTTGCACGCCGAGCCATCCTTCCCAGCACTCGCTCGTACTATGTGTAGTTGACGAGGAGAGCTATAGATCGGCACACGCGAAATTCGTGCGTTGGTCCACTAAGAAAAATCTGATCGCACTCTACATTTCTCAAAGCGTTTCGATCACATTGGACGGAGCCAAAATCATCCCCACTGCCTGGTTAGACCCAACCGCACTTAATTTGACCGACAGAACGAAATTGATTTATTACGGTTTGTTCTGTTCAATGAGAAAAAAAAAACCCCTCAATTTGAAAAGCTAAAATTTCTGACAAGATCAAGATGTGAAGTTTAACACCTCACCAAATTTTGGTATAGTTTTATGATTAAAAATTTGTTGAATTTTTATATGTTATTCCCTCCGTTCTAAAATATAAAAACCTATAACCGGATGAAACATTTTCGTCTGTCCAGATTCGTAATAGTAGGAAATGTTCTATTCGGTCGTAGGTTCTTATATTTTGATTTAGTCTTGTTTAGTTTATTGTCTTATCAAGAATTGACTATACTAACATTTGGGGCTTGTTCAAATTGATGTCATTTTAAATTATAATATTTTTTTAAGTAAAGTTATCAAATATATGCATCCATTTAGTTTATTACGAAACTCTAGTAATTAAATAAGAAATCATGCTAAAACTTGATAATATTATTAAATTGTCTAAATTTAATATGATTTATTTTGGTTATAATCTGAACCTGATAACGTTAGTTTCGGCAACAGATCGAACAAAGCTCTTTTAATACCTACTAGATGAGCATCGTGTATTCGCGTCCATATGTGCCGTGTCATCAGGACGGATAACGCACACGCATGCACGCCATGTTACCCCGAACGGATCACAGGAGGCGTCGTGTCAACCATAGCAAGGGCCCCCGTCACCACTGTAGCAGCACACGACGCTCATCGATCCCGGGAAGCTTCTCCGTCGAATCCACCCCGGTTGGTTGGATCGGATCGGAGGAGAGCCGCACGCGCAGGGCCGCACGGCTGGATGCAGATGGGAATCATGGGATCCGTCGCAGCGAGCGCTGTGGATGATGAGCTGCATGGGCGCCGGCTTGGCTGGCACAGCAGCAGCAGCAGCAGCCAGCGCACGCGAGATTGAATGCGCGACGCGACGCGACCCGACCATCCATCGGCCATCCAATCGCGGCGCGGAGATTTCTCACTACCGATGACTCGGGTAACTCGTACTAGGTGGAAGCGAGCCGGAATAATCCCGGAGGAGCCCAGCCGTGAGCTGTCCCCAGCCTGGACTCCAACGAGAGAAAACACACACTAATCACAGGCGCAGGTCACGCTCACGGCTCACATCGCGCCGCTGACGCGCGGGTCCCCCGTGCAAGTTGCCGTGGGTGCGCATGGCTGGATGACAACGAGGGTTTAGATTAGATTTAATCGTGGCATTTGGAGGGAATAATAATAATATACTTCTACTCCAGTATTTGTATGACGAGGCGATTAGGATAACGTATGGAACTGGACAGGTCATCAGTTTTCAAAAAAACAAAAACAAAAAAAACTGGACAGGTCATCCATCCTTTGATTCCTTTCCATGCTCTATGCTCTATTTTCCCCCATTTTAAAAGGCTCGCAGCGCATATGCAGTCAAGATCGATCGTCGCTTTTTCGTGCTCCAGCTAGATTAGCCACCTGCTGCAGTCCTGCACCCACCCGTGCGTGCCCTTCATTTTACTTAATCTTTTAATTACCAGTACCACTAATCTCTACAGTTCTTGCACATGAGATCGCATGGCGGCATGGGCATCTCTATGACGACCTGACCTTCGACTTGGAGGTACTACTAGTAGTACGTGAGGTTGGGCATTGGATCCCCGAGACATTCCGGGCTCCGCTCGTGGAGCGCACAGTGCGCGCGATCGACAGCTCGCTCGCGCTGTCGATCGGTCGCCGCGATCCAAGATGTCTACAGCTCCGGCGCCTGACTCACCAACGTGAAACGGCTCCGTGCTGCTGCTGCTGACTGGTGAGGAATGAGTCCGCGCTCCCGAACAAAATTAACGATCGATCCGTGGATGGATGATGGTGACTCGATGCCGCCTTGGATTTGATGCGGTTTTTCCATGTCGTCGTTGGACGTATATCAAGATTTCAAGAGGTGAGAACAGCACCTAGCTCAGCTGGTAGGGAGCTGCTAGGAGCAACGTGCTAGCCTGAGTTCGAATCCGTTTGAGCAACAGGTTTTCTCACCATTTCATCACAACACAAGTTAGGCCCTGTTTAAATCCCACCTAAAATTTTTTCACCATATCATATCGAACACTTGGACACATGCATGGAGCATTAAATGCGGACGAAAAAAACCAATTACACAGTTTGTGTGTAAATTGCGAGACGAATCTTTTAAACCTAATTGCGTCGTGATTTGATAATGTGGTGTTGCAGTAAACATTTGCTAATGACAGATTAGTTAGGCTTAATAAATTCGTCTCGCAGTTTACAAGCGGATTATATAATTTGTTTTGTTATTAGACTACGTTTAATATTTAAATGTGTGTCCATATATCCGATGTGACACGCAAAAACTTTACACCCTGGATCTAAACACCCTCTTAGTACTAAAAGTATGACAAAGATACACAAAGTGTTGCTAACAAACTGTTGGTCGCAGAAGTGAAAAGATTTATCAACTACTCCCTCCTCCCATAATATAGCAACTTAGTATCGGATGGGACACTTTATAGTATCATGTCCGGTTCGTTGTACTGTGAAGTGTCCTATTCGGGTTACTTTATTATGGGACGGAGAGAATAGTACGTGACAAGTATATGGCATATGAGATAACAAGTTAGTAAAGTATGGACTGTTATAGCTATAGCTATAGTAACGGAAGAGGAACGGTATGTTTAACACATGACATGGCGAATTAGTATGACAAAACAAATACTCTAGGTTTCTATTAGGGCTAGAGAAGAAACTCAGTTTATATGTTCATGTTTCAAAACTAGTATCTAGAGCATGTTTGATATGGTTTCAGCTCTAGCTCTATTTCTCTTTATTTCTCTTAAAGTTAAAATCTAACTAACAGTTCCAACTATATCTAGAATAGGAATAGAGTGGATTGGAGTGATCTGAAAAATAAAGCAAAGAGGTGAAAACGGATTAAACCTTCATCGGTTATTCATATTCCCTAATAAGCCTATACATTACAAAGTAATCTATAGGTAAACCTTTTATATATTTGTTCGTAATGACTTAAAAGTCAATATTAAAAAAATTACGTTGAAAATACCTTAAACTCAACTTCAAATATAAAGTTCGAAAATTCTAATTTTAGCTTTTGATTTGGTTTATTATGTCAACTGATGAGGCCCTTAGCCTTATTATGGGATGGGGTGTCTAGATACATTGACCAATCCTAGGTTGCTATATTCTGTGACGGAGGGAGTATTTGAGTTACTTTTATACTCCATCCGTCCAAAAAAACCAATCCTTGATTTGAACCTAGACACGTATAAAAAGTCCAATCCTAACAATGAATCTACACACACATGCGTCTAGATTTATAGTTACGATTGTGCTTTTTTATGCAACGGAGGGGTACCTTTTAAAGCTATTATTATAGCACCCCGTAATGGCGATAAAACTACCTTTTATTTTCACCGGAGTTAGATTTCCATAAAAAAACCCCAAAAACGATTTCCCACTTGGGACGAAAATTATAAATGACATTTCCATCAATTTAGTTACACTGACAGGTGGGCCCGGACCAATTCCGACTAGTCCCAGGTGGCCCAGGTCCCAGCCTCTGTTGCTGGAAAGCAGCTAGTACTAGTTTGGAACCAGAAAAGAAGCAAACCCAACGAATCAACCAACCGAGATCTCCCCACTCATCTCTCATCTCGTAACAGCCCAACCCAGCCAAGCAAAAGCCACAGAGCCGCACTGCCCGTTCGGATCCGGCTAGCTAGCCTCCAGCTCGCCTTCCCCTTCATGCCAGCACGCTCCCCACATCCACCCACCACCCCCACTGACACTCGAGCCCCACCCCCCCCCCCCCGACCCCACAAGTCAGCGACTGAACCCCCCTTACCCAAAGCGTGCGCGTCTCACCCCGCCTACAGCTCACCGGGATCCAGCCTGGCTAAACTCCTCCGATTCATATACACCCAACTCCTCCTCTCATCTCGTCTTATCCCAATTCTCTCTTCTTCTTCCTCGCATCCATAGCTACCGATCAGGGGCAGAATTTCCTGCTGATTTTCTTGGAGGATTTGTGATTTTGAGGTCGCATCGCGTCGCCATGGACCCGTGCCCGTTCGTGCGGGTGCTGGTTGGCAACCTGGCGCTGAGAATGCCGGTGGCGCCGCCGGCGGCGGGTGCGGGGGCGGGGGTCCACCCGTCGACCGCGCCGTGCTACTGCAAGATCCGGCTCGGGAGGATGCCGTGGCAGGTCGCCGCGGCGCCGCTGGTGGTTGCCGATGGTGGGGAGCAGGCGCCGTCGGGGGCGCTGGCCGCCGCGTTCCATCTGTCCAAGGCGGATTTGGAGTGGTTCGCGCGGAAGCCGTCGCTGCTGTTCTCGTCGTCGTCGTCGTCTCGCGGGCCGGCGACGCTGAAGGTGGCGGTGTACGCCGGGAGGAAGGGGACGACGTGCGGTGTTAGCTCTGGGCGGTTGATTGGGAAGGCTACCATTCCGGTGGATCTCAAGGGCGCCGAGGCGAAGGCCGCGGTGGTGCATAGCGGCTGGATCTGTGTTGGGAAGAAGAGCGGCGGCAAGGGCGGCTCCGCGGCGGCGGAGCTCAGCCTCACCGTGCGCGCGGAGCCCGATCCGAGGTTCGTGTTCGAGTTCGACGGCGAGCCGGAGTGCAGCCCGCAGGTGCTGCAGGTGAGGGGAAGCATGAAGCAGCCGATGTTCACCTGCAAGTTCGGGTGCCGCAGCAACAGCGACCTGCGGAGATCGGTGGTTCAGACGGAGCGGGACGCCGCCGCCGCCGCCGGGAAGGAGCGGAAGGGGTGGTCGGTGACGGTGCACGACCTGTCGGGGTCCCCCGTGGCGCTGGCGTCGATGGTGACGCCGTTCGTGGCGTCGCCGGGGACGGACCGGGTGAGCCGCTCCAACCCGGGCGCGTGGCTCATCCTCCGCCCCGCCGGCGACGGGTCGTGGGAGCCATGGGGCCGCCTCGAGTGCTGGCGAGAGCGCGGCGGCGCGGGCGCCTCCAACAGCCTCGGCTACCGCTTCGACCTCCTCCTCCCGGGCGTCGACCACGCCGTCCCCTTGGCGGAGTCCTCCATCGCCGCTTCCAAGGGCGGCAAGTTCGCCATCGACCTCACCTCGATGCAGCCCCAGAGCCGGGGCGGCACGCCGGGGTGCAGCCCGCGGGGCAGCGGCGACTTCAGCCAGTGGCCGCTCGCCAGCTACAGCTACCGCGGCTTCGTGATGTCCTCCTCCGTCCAGGGCGAGGGGCGGTGCAGCAAGCCCACGGTGGAGGTCGGCGTCCCGCACGTCGGCTGCGCCGAGGACGCGGCCGCGTTCGTGGCGCTCGCCGCCGCGGTCGACCTCAGCATGGACGCGTGCAGGCTGTTCTCCCACAAGCTCAGGAAGGAGCTCTCCCACCTGCGCTCCGACGTGCTCAGGTGACCACCGCTCGCCGCCGGTGAGCTTCCCGCGGCTCACGAGCAAAATTGTACATAAGTAGTTGAGACTCTTTTGACACGAGATGTTCTTTAGTTGGTTCGTTGGTGTGTTAGTGTTAGTAGTGGTAGTTCAGTTTTGGTGATCAGTTGGTTGAGTTTTAGATAGATCTCTCTCTCTCTCTTTTATCCCCTGCGAGTGTGCTTGTGTTCTTTTGGATTGGCTACTTTACTTCAAGCCAATCTCGGTAACTTCCTTTCAGATGTCTATAATTGGGAGAAATTTGTGACCATATGAACCTGTTTCTTCCAGAACTAGAAAATCGAAAGCTCTTGCGGTTCCGATTCTGATCGTGACATGGAATCGACGAGCTCCTCCCCATATGTTACACAAACCCAAAAGCTTCATTTTAGAGTTCGTTTCAGGTGACACCGTACGGCCTTCGACATTGCTTTTGCAAAGCGGCATGAGCGGGGGAGTACGCCTTCCCTCCCAAAATAAGTCGATTAAAATTCATTTATATATCTTATTTATTTTTTTTATAATTAGTATTTTTATTATTGTTAGATGATAAATTTTATGTATGAATTATTTTTAATTTTTTTATAATTTTTTTAAAAAATAAAATTAACGGTCAAATATAGTAAACAGAAACAAGTACTCCAGTCAGGGGTAGATCATCGGCTCAACCGCTCCCGCTGAAGCAGTGGATCGGTCAAGCAAGCTGCGGCAAAAAGAGAAGAGAAAAAGAAAAGGAAAAAGTTTCCTTTGCCCTGATGAGTTGAGTGAGAACATGAAGGAGCAGGCAGCAGCTGGATGTCAGTGGTGGTGGAGTGGAGTACGGGCGATCCGTCTCGCTGCCGCTGGCAGTAGTGGCTCTGCTGCTGCTGCTGCTGCTGCTACGAGTGGTGCCAGTGTGGACCGTGGCGTAGGAGTAGTACTAGTGCTACGAGTGGTGGATGGTTTGTTGGGATTGGCGACTAGGGCCATGCACATTTCCCGTTGGTTGTCTGCTGCCATGGAGCTGTGGCTGGGTCCGGCTCCGGTGGGGAAAAAAGGAATCCAACGCAACCACCTCCCCTGTGCCCACACCACCAGCACAGCTACAGCTCTCTCCTTTTTCTTCATCATGTTTTCTCACTAATTTTTCCTAGTATTTGAACACACGCTGGCGCGCAGTATGCATTTCGCAGCCGGTGTGGCTTTCTGATCCGTTAATTAAGCCGGTTGCCCATGCTTGTCTCGGATCGCTCATCGTCCCTCCATGCGAGACGTCCGGTGATTGCTAATCTAGAGCTGGATGGACAGCTACGGCCAGATGGATGGATATGGGGTCTCGTCCAGTCCAGCGTGGTGCTGTTGTGTTCGATTTGATCGATTGATCGCGGAGAAAACGATGCGTGCGGCGGACAAGGCGGCGGGCGATGCGCGGGCTGAAATGGCTGCCACGACGACTGAGCGCGAGAAATTAGTAAGAAAATTTGTTCAAACAGGTGTTCTCATTATCTGAAAAAACAAACAGGTGTTCTCATCCGCTTCAGAAACACATCCAAATCATGCCAGCTCAAGCTTTCCTGGCTGTGATTTGTACTGTACAATTGTCAATTGTAGCTAACGAATGAGGAAAGCTTGTGTGTATTAGCTAGACAAGTAGACAGGTATCCATGAGGAAAAAGAAAAGGCAGCAGACGATTAGAGGATTTCCCACAGAGATTGGTCTACTAGAGTTTACAAGTAAATCACATGTTAGTAACTAACAAGACCTGGCTCGTTAGTTTTCCATCCGCACTGTTCTTTTTCAACTAAATGGATGAGCAAATTAACGAGACTCGCTTTTCAAATTTCTAAACAATATTATTTTTATAAAAACTTTATGGACATGATTATTTTAAGAAATAAATTCATTTTTTTAAACCAAAGCCATGCTAAGTTGAAGTTATATTAAGAAAAATAGAAAGTATTTACAATATCACCAAAGAAAGTGAAAGAGAGAAACAAGGGAAACTAGGGAAGAAAACATAAAAGAAACACACACTAAATGAAACCTAAGCGGATATTCTCGTGATGTTTTTTTTCTCCACACATGCTCTATAGCTTGATTTCATTTTGTATTTTGGCGAATAGTTGCGACATGATTTTCTCTTGATTTTGGAACACCTTCATGTTTCGTTCACACCATATTTTCCATACCACCAATAAGTGGATTGACTTGAGTGCTTTAGCCTTGTATTTTTCCTCCTTGAGATGTTCTTCTGATCCACCATTTCAACAATACTTCATTTTCATCATGTGGGTGGTCTATTTCGCTGCAGTTCAGTCTACTCATGACCCTATCTCAGATCTGACACACAAAAGTGTCAATCTTTAAAAAGATGTTAGGCGGTTTCTAGGTTTCTGTAGCATAGTTGACAGAAACAGTTGTTTGGTCATTGTCTGATCTGTAGCATGTCCGTTGTCCGAATCCTATTCTGCAGTAGACGTTCAACTTTAGTTAAATCATTTTTAACTTTATATTAGTTATAATTCATTCGTTTGTGACCTTCAATAAACGTTCGCGCGTTTCATATTGCAGCGTCGGATCACCCGTGGCTTTCGATCGAGCCTGGCTAGCTAGCTAGCAATGTTAATTTGCTCTTAATTGGCACACACACATAAATGCTTAATTTGCAAGTTGCATGGTTCCTAAAACTCGTATAGACACTACTAGAAAAACTCTTTTCCCAGTCGGCCGAATCATATTTTCACAGACGGACAAGCCATCCGCCTGCACCTCAACGCCTGCAAAAATAGTTGATTTTCGCAGGCGCGCGCCAGGTCCGCCTGCGAAAATAGCTTCGAGCGCTAAAAAAAAATTGGGCAGTCACCCCTGTTTCTGGCGGTAGCTTCCCGTTCTCAATCCAGTTCACACCCCTTCCCCATCCAATCCATTCAATTCATCCAGTTCATCCAAAAAAAAACACCGAATCAATTTATCCACAGTTCATCCAAAATCACGGAATCAATTCTAAAAGAAAGCAAATAAAAACATTCAACAAATCACGGCCGCTGCCCAGCCTTCGTCCGCCACCGCCGCACAGCCGCGGCCCGCCGTCGTCTGCGCCGCCGCCGCACGGCCACGGCCCGCCGTCGTCAACGCGGGCGGCTGGGAGCCGCCGCCGCCGCCTCAACTGCCCTCGCCGCCGTGGCCGTGCCGCCGCCTCGACCCTCCTCACTGCCACCACCCGCCGCCGTGCTCCCCCCGCCCCCCTCTGGCCAGATCCGACGGCCACCGCTCTCCCCCCGCCCCCTCCGGCCAGATCTGGGAGGGAGGCGCCGGGAGCGCGCCGCCGCCGCCCTCCGCCGTCGGGAGGGGAGGGGAGAGGAGAGGTGAGGTGGGGATAGGAGGAGAGGTGAATGAGAGAGGTGAAGGGATAAGCTTACCGGCCGTGAGTGGTGAAGGTGTGGAGACTTAGAAAAAATCTCCTCCTATCCCAAGTCTATTTATATTCAAGTCTATTTTCGCAGGCGGACCATTTAAGCGGCGCCTGTGAAAATCAATTTCACCTTGATTTTCGTAGGTGGACATCAAATTTCACTTCGATTTATATTTTTGTAGGCGGTCATTTAGCTCTAAGGGTCATGTCCGCCTGTGAAAATAAGACTCCCACGTTGGAAAAAATGCTTTTTCTAGTAGTAATCTAGCCTATATATATCACGGGCTGTACAACTGTACAGTATATAGGTCGGTCCTAGTGTGCTGTAACTTGTAATTGATGTATGCCGTACGTGTTATGTACGTACTACCTACGCGTTGTTAATGCTACTAGTAGTGCTGTACGGAACCGTAGAGCATGTTTGTGTATGCTTACGTGCTGTGCGTCCATTCGATAGGTTGATATTGTTTTGGCACTATATAATACTTGGATTAGTACTATACCGTACAATACTTTTACGCGTTCACGAAAAATGTTCAGCACTACACAAAATTATTAGCTGGGAGTTAGTGTTAGTAAGTACAAGTAGTAGTCTACTTATGTTTGGAATAGTCCTAATTATAACTTTTGTGATGGTCTAAATTACCTCCAAACTAAAAAAAAACTTGAAATCCAACACGCTCAACTTTTCAAACCAGAAAAATAATCCGACCACTGCTTTCAATGGATTTAGCAATCCAATCAACATAAGAATAACATAGGATCGACATGTCATATGCCTCACCTCTCTGGCTCTCTCTATTTCTCTCACGGTGACCGAGCTACCCTCTTGAAGGAGGCAGGTGGTGACACCAGTGACGGAGCTCGAGTTCTCCACAGGGAGAGCGCTAGAGGCAGCAACCGGCTTAAGCTCTATTTAGAGAGAATGATGGAGTTTGAGCTATCCTTATTTCTTCCCTCTCTAGATCGGCCATAGCTTCGCGACCGACAATTCACAATGGTGATGGACACCATAGCTTGTCCAACCATTGTCTCCTCAAGCTTGAATAGGTGGAAAAGAGGCAAAATGGACACGAAGCTCGAGGCTCTCCTACTCCCCAAGCTTAGCCACATGAGCTCAACTAGGGAATGATGTGGCGGCAACTGCGCACGATGAGCACCTCGAGCCAAGCACTTAACTCCATAGTTGAGGATGGTTACTCTCTCCCTCCCCCTCCTCTCTCTCTCTTCATTTGTAATTACATCCAACTGGAATTGATGTGTGGGTAGGATGGTTAATTCGAACTGCGAGTGTTGTAACTCGGATATTCTGGTTATGTGTAGACTAAGTCAGAGATGTTTACTCGTTCAATCTCTTTCTTCGTTTGTACGGGATAGCTTCTTCCAAAAAAACAAGAACTTGCTTTAAAAAGGACAGAAAAAACTCAAGTACTTCCTCCGTCCTAAAATGTAAGTATTTTTGAGATTGGCACGGGTATTAAGAAAGTAGGTGAGAATGATTGAAAAAGGTGTGTGATTAGTTGAAAAGAGAAAGTAGGTGAAAAAGAATAGTTGTGATTGGTTGAGAGGAGAAGGTAGGTAGAAAAATAGCTTCATTTTAGGATAAAGTACTGTGGTAGAAATAGCTATATTTTGGGACGGAGGTAGTACTCAACAAGCATCACGGTGTATATGCCGTGTATATATCCTTATCGCGTTGACGATCGACGAGGATTTGATGTGAGCATTGGGCAGTTACGAAAACAAAGAAAATATATATCTCTTGCTGTGGTTGTGTGGGTTCTACGGTCATACAGATCGCATGTGTTTGCTGGCAAAGCGCCAAGTGGCAACACACGCAGGCAGAAAGGCATAACGGTGGAGACTGGAGAGCTGCAAGCGCCGAGTGCGTTGGCTGCATCGATCGATCCGCGGAGGAAACGCTACCGGCGTGTCGCTCTACTACCAGTACTTCTCACTGATCAGCTGGAGAAACGGAAAGCACGTGCTGTAGCGACTTGGCTGCTTTGTCCAGATTTGTTTTCCTAGAATATATCATATCCATCTAAAATATCTTATATTTAAGATAAATGGAGTATAAGTTATGAATAGATAATAGATATGGGCATCTTTACCCATAATTTTTTTTTTGTAAATTAGCCTTTTATTAGGTGGAGAGAGGATGGAGGGCCTGTTCACTTTGATGCCAAAAAAAACCTTACCAAATTTTGGCACTTATATTTGCCAAAATTTTGGCAACTTGTTAAAATTTTGACAGGATTTCTTATATAATTACTAAAATTTAGCAGCAAGTTAAATGTAGCCATTATTTTGCAACTTTACCAAAAATTTGGTAAGGTTAAAAATGACATCAAGGTGAACAGGCCCGGAGTAATGGAAGAAGAGAGATTCTCATTTTTTTTTTATTCTCTTGTGGCTTACCATAATAAGTTTTAGTGCCTAATCTTGTTGGGCCCCTATCCTGCTATACAAACCCATGTTCTATGGGCCGAGCTGAAGCTCCATGGCCACATTTTCTATGGGGGTATTCTTGTTCAGTTCTTCAGTTACTACTACCGGAGTATTGGCAATGGCATATTGGAGGCACAAAATAATGAGGTTTAAAGGTGCTGTTTGGTTTAATACTTCAACTTGCCACACCTCTTTAGCTTTGTGTTTGGTTCAGTGCCATAGTTATGGCAAGCAACACTTTCTTACTACCTCCGTCCCAAAATAAGTGCAGCTGTGGATATCCGTGCCCAACGTTTAACCGTCCGTCTTATTTAAAAAATTTGTGAAAAAATTAAAAATATTTAGTCACACATAAAGTACTATTCATGTTTTATCATCTGATAGCAATAAAAATACTAATCATAAAAAATTTTCAAATAAGACAAACGATGAAACGTTGAACGTGAATAGTGCAAAACTGCACTTATTTTAGGACGGAGGGAGTACTATTTTATCCTATATGTCATAGACTCAATTCTTTGCCTAATTTTGTCAAAGGGTGGCTTACAATTTATAGGCCACAAAAAGTGTGGCAAGCCCCAAACCACACTTGCCTAACATTGTCTAAAGTGAGTTATGGCAATGTTAGTTAAGAACCAAACAGCCATTTTCTATGTATACAACGTACTAACGGAGTATTGGCATATTGGAGTAGCAGTTGCACTGTTGCAGGATGCAGCCACATGGCCCTAGTGCTGCACGCCTGCACCACCACATCACAGGCATACAGTAGTACAAGCCGCTGCCTTGACGATTTGACCGAACCAAGAACACCATCACTACGAGCTCTGCGCAGTCAGCTTTTCGAGATTTGATGATTCGTTCGGCCCGATCCGTTGCTATCCTGATCAGATTCTGAACTCCTTTTCTCTCTGCGCCCATCTACTGTTGGTACTGAACTTTGCTACTGTTGCTTTCACGCTGTGTGACTTCTGTGCTTTATTGTTTGCTCATGCGACATATACTCTCTCCCTTCCAAAATAAGTACAGTTTTAGCACTATTTATGTTCAACATTTGACCGTTCGTCTTATTTAAAAAAAGATTATGATTAGTATTTTCATTGTTATTAGATGATAAAATATGAATAGTACTTTATTTGTGACTAATTTTTTTAATATTATTTATAAATTTTTCAAATAAGACGGGTGATTAAAGCGCTAAACACGAATCTTTATGTCTGCACTTATTTTGAGAGGGAGGCAGTATGTCTCTCGTACTCTCGTACTCTCGTACTCACTTGCTTGCTTCTCGCTTGGCGTTCATGGTGTCGTGCAAACCCTGTGTGCTCGGTCATGATACTGTGGCACTTGCCGCTGAGAAAATAACCAGAGATGCAGTGGTGGAGTAGAGTGGAGTAATTCATTGGGGCGTGAAAGCGTCGTCAGAAATTCATCGGGGCTTGCAGATGCAGCAGTGTTTGTAGCGAGCAAGAGGAAGAAGATACGACGGTCTCTTCTACTGCTACTCTAGCTTCTTCCTTGCAAGTTGCATCTACAGTTCCAGGAGGAGATAAAAGATTTATTTTTTTCCTTTCAGTGCTTTCACAGCTTCATTTTGCAAGGTAAACACACTGTTCTATCTATCTGATAAGGATCTTGTTACAAGCAGTTGTTTTCTTAGGCTATAATGGTTCTGAATTACACTGCTGTTCATCAGCCACCCATATGCTCCGCTGAACTGAAACTCATGAACAAGGCAACTGCATTTCCAATTCTGAATAAACATTTGTGATTTGTGGCGCATAACTGGTAGCTATAGATCATGTAATTCCTTTGAACATAGTTAACCATCAGAAAGTTCAGACTATTTGCTTACCTTAAAACTTTTCTGATTGCTCCAGGAGGAATCTGGAGCTGAACACTAACAAGTCTACCACCACACACACAAACTGAGACTGATTCACTATGCTGAGGCAGCCATCCAGCAGATGCCACAGATCAAAGAAGCTTCTTAGGCCAAAGCACATCCTCCAGGTCGTCCTGCTAGTCGCCGTCAGTGTCTGGCTGGTGTACCAGCTCACACGCAACCGGCGACGTGCAGTGGCCGTGGAGGGCGGCGGCGCTGCCATGGACGGTGAGGTGACGCGGCGCCGGCTGGGCAGGAAGGGCTTCATTGTCTTCGCCGGCGACGCGTCTGATGGTGATGGCGTTCGTCGGAGCATCGGTGGCCGGAGCAATGTTGCCACCGAGGCCGAAATGGAACGGGGCGTCACGTCTGATCAGGTGGGCGATGGTGATCGAGGCGGTGAGGGAGACGTCGAGACCGGTGAAGAAGAAGAAGAAGAAGACGACGACGGCGACGGTTACATTGCCGACGATGGCCTTCCCGGCGACGAAGACGACGACGGCGGAGATCTCCGTCACCTTCAGGCAGATGAAATGGATGTCATCAGCTTTGGTCCTCACACGAACTCTTCTGACTCCATAGCTGCTGGTCCACTGGTGAATGGCGTTGCAGATGATATGAACAGAACTGCAGTGATTAACACATCGGTAAATGATTCTGGTGTAAGCTTGAATCCTCCTGTGACCGGGTCATTGCGATACAATCACAGAAAAGCAACTGGCAATATTGAGGCACTTGGAGGCTTGGAGCCCACGATTACGAACGACATGGAAGAAGACTGAAAATGGCAGACGGAATGCTCTCCGGTGACAGCATGAGATTATTTCGTCCGGTTTGATCTTCAGGACAACTCGCTGCATCTTTCAAGCTGATATAATCTGTTTATCATGTTACCCTGCTTGTTACTATAAAGCCGTGTATCCATCTAGGCAATCTTTTTAAGCGATGCTCATGTTATTTTCCAGTAACTTCTTTTTTATTTTCCTGTAGCAATAGCTTCCGGTAACAATTTCTCAACATTTCCCAACTATGCAATCTGTTGATCAAGCAAAGAAGTACATCCAGCTTTGACAGCGACTGAACCGTGAAAATTCATAAGCATAAATAAGCATCAATTTTCGGAACAGGTTTCATCCCATAAAGAGCAAGAGCACAGAAATGGCGTAGGAAGATTATAATAACAAAGCTTGTTGTGATGATGACAGCATTTTCTGAAACAGAACACATGCATATGATCACTGCTGTGAATGAAGAAAACAGGTAACAACTAACAACACAGTTAAATCCTGATTATCAACACAAGAGTTTTGTCATTCTTATTTCTTTGTTGCAAGAAAAATAGGTTTCACTGAAAACAAGAATCACTGGAACAACCAGAGAATTTTTCTTAAGCATTCACTGGGCTTCTGATGGTGCGCTGTTCAGTACTTAATGGTGCTTGTTCTCAAATAGGCCATCGGGTCCTGCATGGAAGAGTTGTATGGTGTGAGAATTTGAAAGCAACACAGTAACTCGAAACAAATACAGAATACGAAACGGAAGTACTCACTCGATAGTAATGCTCAAGTATTCTACCAATATATAGTTCCAATGTGGATTTCAGGTTTATCATGCCCTAATTCACTGGGATGTTCATGGCATCTGTTACATGCAACTTTGAGCTTTGTATAGCTTCCTATACAAAAATAACAAACTATTCTATACTCTGCTGTACGATAATCATAGGTGGAAGGCATAAGACTAGTCTAAAATCTGATTGAATTTAAGGTCATATTGTCATAACTACCATTGTTGTTCATGACATATGTTGCATGCAACTCTTAAACATTTGTACCAAAAAAAGAAGATTACAACACCCATGCTAATTATATGAATTTCGAATCCCAGAAATGAGTTCTGAAAGTCGTCATGCAGAAAAATGGAATACAACTTAAAATTACCATCCCAGATCTCAAAGGTTTCTAGAGTGATTAGGTATAGTACAACTATAAGTTTGTGTAGCAAAATGTACACCAAGAACTGGATGCAATATTGCAAGCACAATGTACGATCAAATTCCATCTCAATGTGCGGTAAGTATCTGGTGAAAGTCCCAATGTTTGCAGACTAGGCATTGAAGTGTTCCTCAGACATTGGTGTTGCCCTAAGTATCTTAGGAAATGTGATCGAATCTCCAAACATGAAATTATAATATTCTTGCGCAGACAAAAAAAAAATCCTTGCAGACATATCTATGCCAATCGTAAATGATATTCGGCGAGTTATCACAGTCAAACTAGTCAACTAAATCGGTAGTTTCATCAGAAAACGATGAACAATCACCAAGATTATAAACGACCAGAACTAAAGGAATGGGTATTTCGGCAAAATGAAATACCGTAACATGCAACTATCACAATCCGCATACAAGTACATACACCAGCCATTTGACTTCAGTCAGAATATTAATCGCGATAAATCTCAATAGAACATCGCAACAAGTACTCAAATAGATAGGGTTAAGCCATAGCTGAACAAACTTACCCCATGGGAACTCCTTGTTACGGATGTGCAGATAGGGGTACGCCTGAAACAATCACAGATTCCACGAATCAGATTCATACAATAGCTAATCCAGAATCCCGGATAAATCAAGGACGAGATCTGACCGGCGGCTCGTCGAAGTGGGGGTGGCCCTTGGAGAGGTTGTACGCCGCCAGCAGGGTGCAGGTGACGATCCCGGCGTAGGTGATCTTCTCCCACTTGGCCGTCTCATCTGCGAGGGGGAGGGGGATAGGGAGATCGAAACGCGAATCAGAAGCCAATCATGGGTCAACGAGAAAACCACACAAAACGGGGAAGAGGAGACGGGAGGTGGGACGACTCACGGGCGTCGTCGTGGGCGGAGGAGGACATGCGGCGCCTCGCCGCGGGGGCGGCGGTCGCCTTGGCGCGCGCCGCCAGCGAGCGGAGGCCGGATCTCGCCGCCGCCGATGCCATGGGGGAAGGTGGGTGGTGGCGCCGCTGGTTTTGGGGGAAACGGGTGGAGAGATCGAGATTAGATAGGAAACTGACCTCCGGTTTCTTCTTTATTTTTGCTGGTGGTCTTCGTGGGCTTTGCGGTTTGTGGGCTTCAATTGTTGGGCCGTTGAGTTGAAATCACAGATACTACATCGGTCCCAAAATGTTGCTACCATCGTAAAACAACGAATTTGTGGGTCATGTAGCAATATTTTAGGACAGAGGAAGTAGGAAATTTCAACCACTGTCATTGTTTTTTTCTTCAACTTCAAACTCTAACCTGTACTCGTTTTCTGTTAGCACGATTTTTAAATATTTAAAATATACGAATTTTTTAATATATAAAAAATGTTTTCTTAAGAAAAATTAAATAAATTTGATCTTCAAGTTTATAATAGTTAATAGTTAATTAATCATATGTTAATGAGTTTTCTCTTTTTGTGTGCGCTAAAATCTCCATAGGAGTTATTGAAGTTAGGACCTAACTCCTAGTAGTAATTCCTAAGGTAGGAGTATAACTGTTTTCAAAATACAATGCAACGGCAATTGACTAATATAAAGTGTTTGACAAGAACAAGTCCGAATACACTTTTCTTTACCTTTTCAAAGCTACGTTGAATACATTTTTTTCACCTTTAAATCATACTACCCTAATTCCAACTATAAACATATTTTTAAGTTGAAAGGGACATAATGGGATGATCAATAAGGGTGAACTTATTCTTCAGTGTATTTGATTCGGGGATAGGTGGGATACATTGATCCCTAAAAGGGAATACTCTCTAGATCGGGTTCAGTTTTGTACTTAAAAATCGACATAACTAATCTAATCCACTCTCTCTCATTGGGCCACATTCTCTCATTTCTTTAAAGAGAAAGTTATCTACCAAACGTGTACTGATGAAAACATATCCTTAAAAAAAAAAAAAAAGAGGGATGAGCCTAACCCATCTCATCTTGTCACCAGACCAAATACACGTTAAGTGATTATGCCCATGCAAGCATTCTCGTTTGAATCCAAAATGTGCCGTGTTGAATTGTTAGCACTTTAAAGAGTATTTTGTTATTGTTTAATTTGCTATTAAGATGTGCCGATAATATACACCGGTTTAAAAAAATAGCAGTACTTAAAATTACCTAGATTTTAGCACTGCAACATTTTGGTATAATGGCAAATCAAATAAACCATGCATTTGGCGGAATCTACTTTCCGACGAAGGTGGGAGAAACTATGATGCTGCCAAGCATCTCCAGCAATAACTTATATTGTAAATTGTAAAGCCCTTAAAAGATCTAATGGAGGCTGTCCGAGGATCCAAAAGTTGACTTGTACTTCAGCAACAACCCCCATTTCTCAGGCCACATTTCTCATTCTCTTCTATTTTGTATACACTATATTTATACCTAGTTTAGCACCAAAATAATTCAAACAGAAATATTTAAAACACATAGAATTCAATCATATTCAAATTTACAATTTTGAAGACCACAATTCAAATTGAAATTCAAAATTTTCAACATTGCAAAATGCACAATAAAATTCAATTTCCACAATCACACACATATGCAAGTTCACAAGCATTATATAATTTTAAAAATAACATATTCTATAAACATAAATGGTAAGATGGTTAGACGACAACCGTCGGCGCAAGAAAGGAGAAGGGCGGGGCGGCGTAGTGAGGGTGCAAGTACAACGGAAAAGGAGAAGTGCGGGGGTGACGTAGTGAGGGTGCGAGTACAACGGGAAAGGAGAAGGGCGGGGCGGCGTAGTGAGGGTGCGAGTACAACGGGAGAAGCGTACGCTAGGATTTTTCACCCGCACCAAAAAAAAAAAAGATGGGTGTTGGTGTAGAGCCCCAGGATTGGGGGCTAGGGAGAGGATTTGGGTGCCTTCCAATTTTGGGGTTTTAATAGGGATCCTGTTGGATCTCGATTTTTATCCCTTCACACTAAAAATTGTTCCTTCGCTCTAAAAACTGTTTGAGAGTTTAGTTTAGATACTCTGCAGGAGATGCTCAATAGTGAAGTTTCATGATGCGATAACTGCCAACCAGAAACCACTTCTCGTGCAATTATTTGAGTTATTGAGTCTGAGAGGAGACTTGTGGACGACGATACCATAATTCAGGGAATGATTTTGTCGGCTCGTCGTAATCCAAATTAGTCCGATCCGTTTACCCCGTCAAGCACTCTCTTGTACACCAAAATCAAACGTGCTGTGCTACCGTACACTTTGCTCGAACGCTGCACTGTGGTCACTTGGTTCTGAACATACCAGCTCGTTCTCTGACGGAGAGTGTGAGTTCAGTCCACGCGTCGCCATGCGATTTCCACAACCGGTCAACCACGCTAGCGCGCCAAAACGCTTCACAAAAGCGCGCGAAACGCCTCGCTCGATCGATCGTCTCACGTCTCGTTCTCGTCGTCGCAGCCATGCATGTTGCAACGCTTTTGCTCCTCCTGCTGCTCGATCTCGCGGTCGCCAATGGCGCCGTCGACGAGTTCGCCTACAACGGGTTCGCCGGCGCCGGCGACGGCGAGCTAGTGCTTGACGGTGCCGCCTCCGTCACGCCCGACGGCCTCCTGCGGCTAACCGGCGGCAGCGGCGAGAAGGGCCACGCGTTCTACGCTCGGCCGCTCGGCTTCCGCAACGGGAGCGGCGGCGGCGGCGGCGTCCGGTCCTTCACGTCGACGTTCGTGTTCAGCATCATGTCGTCGTTCACCGACCTCGCCGGGCACGGCATCGCGTTCGCCGTCTCCTCGACGCGGGACTTCTCCGGCGCCGCCGCGGCCGAGTACCTGGGCCTCTTCAACCGCGCCACCAACGGCGACCCGGCGAGCGGCCGCGTCCTCGCCGTGGAGCTCGACACGATGTACACGCCGGAGTTCCGCGACATCGACGACAACCACGTCGGCGTCGACGTGAACGGGCTGGACTCCGTCGCCGCGAGCACGGCGGGGTACTACACGCCCGGCGGCTCGTTCAGGAACCTGAGCCACCAGCCGCCGCGCCATGCAGGTGTGGGTGGAGTACGACGCCGGCGACGCGCGCCTCGACGTCACGCTGCACCAGCTCACCAAGCCGAAGCCGGCGAGGCCACTGCTGTCCGTGAAGCCGGCGAACCTCTCCGCGGCGTTCTCCGACCAAATGTACGTCGGATTCTCGTCGTCGACGGGCTCCGACGACACGTCTCACTACGTTCTTGGCTGGAGCTTTAGCCTGTCCGGCATAGCCCAAGACCTGGACTACGCCAAGTTGCCAAGCCTCCCTCCTGTCATGGCCACAGCTGCGTCAACCAAGCACATGCCCGTGAAAATTTGGTTACCTGTTAGCCTATCAGTGACAGTGGTAGCCGCTATTGTTATGTTCTTATTGTTCAGGAGGCAGAGGAGGGCAATTTATGTTGAGCTGGTGGAAGATTGGGAGGTCGAGTTTGGACCGCATCGTTTTGCTTATAAGGACTTACACAAGGCGACTAAAGGATTTCATGATGACATGGTTCTTGGCGTTGGAGGATTCGGGAAGGTGTACAAGGGAGTTATGCCGGGGTCGGGTATTGATGTCGCGATTAAGAAAATTTGTCATGATTCTAAGCAGGGGATGAGAGAATTCATCGCCGAGATTGTGAGCCTAGGTCGGCTTAGACACCGTAATATTGTGCAATTACTTGGCTACTGTCGGCGTAAAGGAGAGCTTCTATTGGTGTACGATTACATGATAAATGGTAGTCTGGACAAGTATTTGTACGGTGAAGGTAAACCTATCCTAAATTGGGCACAGAGGATCAACATAATCAAAGGCGCCGCATCCGGTTTGCTCTACCTTCACGAGGAGTGGGAGTAGGTGGTGATTCACCGTGACACCAAGGCGAGCAATGTGCTACTCGATTCTAACATGAACGGGCGGCTCGGCGACTTCGGCGTAGCGAGGTTGTACGACCATGGCGCCGAGCCGAGCACCACCACCATCGTCGGCACCATGGGTTACCTCGACCCGGAGCTGACGCGCACCGGCCAGGCCACCACAAGCAGCGACGTGTTCGCGTTCGGCGCGTTCGTGCTGGAGGTCGTGTGCGGGCGGCGCCCCGTGCAGCCGCGCGCGGCCGCCGGCGGCGAGCGGCTCGTGCTTGTGGACTGGGTGCTGCGCTCGTGGCGGTCCGGGGAGATCGCCGGCGCGGTGGACGCGAGGCTCGGCGGCGGCTTCGCCGCCGGCGAGGCCGAGGCGATGCTGAAGCTCGCGCTGCTGTGCACGCACCGGCTGCCCGCGGCGCGCCCAGGCATGCGGCGCGTGGTGCAGTGGCTCGACGGCGGCGGCGGCGACGTCCTGGACCAACTGTCGCCGGGGCACATGGACGTGGCCACTCCGGCGTTCCTGTGCCACGACGATGACGACGACGACGACTTCGTGGCGATGTCGTTCCCGTCGGCTTCCACTGCCACGTCTCCAACGACACGCTTTACAGGCTAACAACATTAGCCGTGTACCAAAAGCTTCTTTACTATGCAATGTAGTAGTATTGTGATTGAAGATTGAAGTTTTGTTGTGACGTTTTGGTTTTCCTCAAGTGTGGAAGGAATTAATCAGTAAATACGGTTTGTGCATTATACATATGACGCGTTGTTTGGGTAAATTCCACACAGAACCAATGGATTTGCCGCACGCACTGTTTAGAAGGAAGACTTAAACCTGAAATAAGCGAGTGGTTTATTTCTGATTCACATCAATCTGAGAAAAATCAATCAGTGGACAGTGGTTATGATGTGACTTTAATCCACTGATTTGTGATGATATAACTTAATTTTTTCTCAGGGTACAATAGAAATGCAAATGGGGCGCCATTTTACTGGCCCGCAAGGCCACCCCATAGGAATAGTCTACTAAAATATAGCGGGCCATTTTACATGGAATGTAGCGGGTCATTCCATGTTAAGGTGTGATTTAGTCTGGCCTGTAGTGCATATGGCACCTAGGCCACTTGGGCCCAAACCACAACTAATACAGATTAAACAGCTCGGGATGGCCCTTAGCGAATTGCAAAGGAAACAACTTCACTATTGGTCTCTCAACTTATCGTCGAGTCCAAAATTCATCTATAACCGTAATACCAGATATGACGCATCTCTTAACTCCTAAAACCAATGCAAATAAGATCACAAGACGATTTGAACGACGATTTCAACTAACATGGCGCCTACGTGGGCATTGACATGGCACTTAAAGTCAGAAACAACTGTAGGACAATGATTACTGAGTGGGCGCCTACATGGGCTTGCTTGGAAGGGGTTCGGATAGCTACTGAGTGGGTGCATATGCCAATGATTATAGAATTAGACAATGGTAATGTGGTAGCTGACCTAAATACAACAAGCGCTTCCAGAGCAGAATGGGGTGGAATAATTTCAGAAGTAAGAGCAGCAATGCAATGTTTGGTGCAGGTGCAGGTGCACAACATAAAGAGAGATTCAAATAGGATAGCTCACGCTTTAGCTCAAATGGCGTTAAGGTCAGGAATTGATGCGGAGTGGAAGTTAAGTGCTCCTGCAGAAATCCTTGATCTTCTGAATCAAGAATGTAACCCTATGTTCAGCCATTAATAAAATCTCTCTTTACCCTAAAAAAAAGAAACAACTGTGGGACCCACATGTCAGTGAATGTCCAGTTGAAAAATTGCATCGGGACCCACATCATCATCCCCTTTCTTTCGCCTCTTCTATCCCTTCCTCCTCTCTATCTCTCTCTCTCTCTCTCCCTTTCCCTGCCTTTGCTAGGATGACGGCTGCTACAGGCGCCGAGAGGGGAGTGGATGCCGGCGACCCGCACATCCAGGGGCTAAGGAACTGGGAAATGAGCAAGCATGACCAGGTCACACAAAAACGTTGTGTTCCCGCAGGTGTCCCGTGCGGAGAGCTAGGACGTCATTAGTTAAACTACTACCTCCACATCAAGGCTGTTAGCAGCGATGTCGATCAACTCATCCAATAGGTACTCCCCACCACCAAACGAGCAACGCTAAGCATCCAGGCATCAGACCTACTACTAGAGCCGATCGACTGACAAATCAAACTAAAATCGGAACATCGACATGATGATCTAAGTATACCCAAACAAAAAAATAACTAAACAAAAGTAGGCAGTTTCTCCTCACAGAGAGACCAATACTTCACGGATGCGAAACTCACTAGTCACCAGTTTGGCCGGGTAGGAGATGACCTATCCACAGGGTCAAGGTGGCTCCGGTGCCCCTTGCTTTGAGCGTGGTAACCACCAGGTCCACTAGTCCACCACTCGCTAGTCGATTCACTCGGTTCGAACTAATCAGTCAAAGAAAATGCCTCCATGACGACGAGCCTTGTAACTAGGTATGGGTTGGCGATGGTGAAATCTCGCCATCGGGTGGCAGGGTGGGTGGGTTCGGACACCGGAGAGGCGGAGGCTGGAATCCCGAAGGAGGAGGTGAGAGGGTTTGGTGGTGGCGGTTGGTCGATCGGCGATCGAGTCGGATCGGGTTGAGCGGCGGGGGAGCTGGCGAGAGAGGAAGAAGGGAGATAAGAGGGGAAAGATATGGGTGATGATGTGGTCTGCATTGCATTTTTTTATTTTTAACCGGACACTCACTGACATGTGGGTCCCATGGTAGGCGTGACATCAGCCACATAGGCGCCATATTAGTTGAAATCGCCTTGGGATCTTATTTGCACTAGTTTTGCAAGTTGAGGGACGCAACATATCTAGTGTTGCGGTTTTAGGGATGAATTTCAAACTCGACGAAAAATTAAGGGACCTAAAGTGAACTTGTACCAATTGCAAAGCACTTAGCTCTTTTCAGTTGTCATACCGAATTTGAACACGGAGATATCAAATGTTGAAATCCATCGCTACAGGTCCACGGTTCAATCCAAAAAGATTTTGAGCACACCTATTTCTGCTACACTACGTCATCACAATACAACTTGCTACATTATTCTACATTGAATCATTACAACCGTTTGCATTACTAGATATATTTACTGTGTTCCTCTATTGTAAGGCAGAGGATATGCTTTTGTAAGCATTAGCACTACCATGCACTATCTTTGAGATTGTTCAAAAGGTAAACAATGAATTGTAATTTACTCTAAATATTACAAACATTTACACCAAGGAAATAAAACTTTTCGTAGGATAAAAAAACTAACAAGTAGGTGCTACTGTACTATCTTCCTCCAGAGAGGCCACTCATCGTGCCAATGGTCATCATCGTCTCTGATGGAAGCGATGTTGACATGACAAAAGAGTCAAAGCCTTCATTTTGCATAAGAGCTAGCATGCTAAAGCTTAGATGTGTTGGCGTTAGCTCAGGGAAGGGCATGTCACCTTCAAGATACTGCACAACCTGTCGCATGCTAGGCCTTGCACCGGGCAATGGATGTGAACACAACAACCCTAACTTCAACACTAGGATTGCCTCATCAATGTTGTAGTTGCCATGGAGCCTTGCATCAATTACCTTTGTAAGTGATCCTTTCTGCCAATGCTCAAGCACCCAATCGACCAACATGAGTTGGTTGTCTTGCATGGCTTGCTCAACAGGTCTTCGTCCACATGTAACTTCGAGGAGAAAGGCACCAAATGCAAAAACATCGGTTAGAGGGGATGCCTTTCCTGATCGTGCTAATTCTGGGGCTAGATATCCCATTGTGCCAACCACATGTGTTGTTTGTGGATCAGCACCATGATCATATAATCTTGCTAGACCAAAGTCGCCTAACCGTCCATTCATCTCACTATCAAGAAGAACGTTACTTGCTTTGATATCTCAATGAATGACAACTTGCTCCCAATCCTCATGAATATACAGTAGGCCAGATGCTACCCCTTTTATGATGCGGAACCTTTGAGTCCAATCCAGAGTAGGCTTGTTCTTATCATCATATAGGTATTTATCAAGACTACCGTTTGGCATGTAGTCATAAACCAAAATAAGTTCACCTTTTCGCCGGCAATAACCTAATAATTGCACGAGGTTCCGATGCCGAAGACGCCCAATACTCACCACCTCTGCAATGAACTCCTTTATGCCTTGCCTCGATTCATGGGACACTTTCTTTATCGCAACCTCCATATTGGATTTCGGTAGAACTCCCTTGTACACCCTCCCAAATCCTCCTATACCCAGCAACATCTTGGCCTTGAACCCTTCCGTCGCTCGGAACAAGTCCTTGTATGTGAATCGGTGCGGCCCAAATTCAACCTCCCAGTCTTCTCGCAGCTCAGCATACTTCAATCTCCTCCTGACAAGCAAAACCACCACTACAACCACACCGAGGACGAACACCGCGGTTGCTATGGGCAGAACGATATCCAATACCTTGGACCGTGCCTTGGTGCCATAGAACGGCAGCTTGGGCAGCATGGCGATGTCAATGGCAGGAGCAGGCCCGTCCATGGCGAAGCTCCAGCCAAGAACGTAGTGGCGTGACCTCACCGTGCCCGTCGCCGACGAGAAGCCGACGTACACCGGATCGACGAGCACCTGTGAGAGGTTGTACACGGCAGACACCAGTGGCCTCGTAGGCTTGGACATCTTGAGAGGAGCCATGAACACGCTGATCTGCGTGGTGGCGCCGTCGTAGTCCACCCAGACCTGCATGGCCTTGCCGCTGATCAGGGACAGGTCGTGGAAGGCGCCGGTCTTGTCGTCGTAGTAGCCGGCGGTGTTCACGGCGACGGACTTGAGGCTGTTGATGTCGATGCCGACGTGGTTGTCGTTAGGATCCTGGAACTCGGAGCTGACGATGGTGTCGAGCTCGACGCCGAAGATGTGGTTGGTGGTGTTGCCGTTGTTGGTGCTGTTGAGGAGGCCCAGGTACTGGCTCGGCAGCGCGGCGGTGAAGTTGTTCTTCCCGACGAAGAAGACGATGCCATGGCCGCTCAGGTCGGAGTAAGGCGGGATGATCCCGAACACGAACGACGTCGAGAAGGAGCGCACCGCGCCGCCGCCGCCGCCGCCGCCGTGGAAGCGCAGCGCCGCCGGGTGCACCGCGTGCGCCTTGAGCTGCGCCGTGCCGTTGGTCAGCTCGAGCAGCCCGCTCGCCGTGATGGCCGCCGTCCCGTCCAACGCGAGCGGCGCGCCGGTGAAGCCGGCGTAGACGAACCGGTCGTCGCTCCCGGCGCCGCCGACCACGAAGCCAACGAGGACGACGGCGAGCCCGGGAAGAAGTGAACCCACCCCCTTCTTCTCAGCCATTGCAGCAAGAAAGACACTCTCCCCAGTGCGCGCGCGCGTCGCGTCGCGTCGCGTCTCGTGGAGCAGAGGGCGTGCAAGCCGGCGCGGCATATAAGCTTGGGAGTCAGCTTGACATGGTTGCTGGAAGTCTTCGTCTCCTCTGATTTTCCAGTGGCGGCGACAAATGAGAAATGGACAGATCACCACGCGCGCCGCTGCAGTGTGAGGCGATTGGAAGATGCGATTTTATTTTTCCTTGTGTGATGTTGTCTCGTTTGGACCCAAGTGCAAGATACCGGGACCAGCAGCCGGAAGCTTCCGTGTGTTGGAGACTGGCACGAGCTTTGACACACTTGTATGCACGCTGATGTGGATATATCCGTCGAGAAAATTGGGCCATGGAAAGCTGACGAGATCGAGCGAGACGTCACTGAAATCGATTCAAAGGTCGGTAAGAGCAAGTTTAATAATATAGCCCACTACTAGCTCCAATTCATCTATAGTCAATCTAATAGCCAATTCATAGAATAGTTGCTTAATATACTATTAATATATGATCCCACCTGTCATACATACATTGTGTCTTGGAGTTCGCGCTGCAGCTGGCTACAGATCTGTAGCCCGCTGCTTTTCTCTCTCATCTTTTATCTCATTAAAATATGTTTACAGCTAGCTAATAGCCTGCTATAGTACCTGCTCTAAGGGAGTACTAATCTTATTTTTCTAGAATTCATACGGTCAAGAAATGACCAGGATTTGTCAGCATTTTGTTCTTCTAAACTCTAATAGCAGGTACAATAACAGCCTATAAGCCAGCTGTAAACATATTTTAAGAAGATAAATCAGGAGAGAGAAGAGCAGCGGGCTACAGATTTGTAGCCAGCTGTAGCACGGACTCTAAGACGCGGTGTGTCTATGACAGGTGGGACTAGATATTAATAGTGTAGTATATAACTATTATATGAATGAGCTATTAGATTGGCTATAGATGAATTGGAGTTAGTAGTTGGCTATACTATTGAACTTGCTCTAAAGAGAAACTGATTGGCATCATTGGTTAACGTGGACGAGAGAGCCATATTGAATGATATCCTCTCTGCCAAGTGGCGACGCTCGTGCCGTGCCAGGCGATGACCATCTCGTCTACTTCATATGCGGAGAGCAAAATATCTCCCGCCTAATTTGACGGAAAATGTAGTACAGTTTATTAATTGGAACGAGATTGAATTGATCCCGGGTTTAAGTTCTAAAAAAAAATTGATTTCGGGTTTCAAACCATTGCAGCAATTTATATTGTCTGGTGTTCTGAAAGTTGATTTGAGGCTTTACTACACGTCATCCGTCTAAAAAAGCTTCTAAAATTGAATCTGAACGAACACTAATCTAGGGCTATGTTTAGTTCCATACTAAAATTGAAAGTTTGATTAAAATTAAAAGTTTGAAGAAAAAATTGAAAGTTTATGTGTGTAGGAAAATTTTGATGTGATGGAAAAGTTGAAAGTTTGAAGAAAAAGTTGGAAACAAACTCACCCTAGATTTTGTCTTTTTCAAAACGTTGTCTTTTTCAAAACGGAAGGAGTATGTATATACCAACTTCGCGTTTAACTCGATCTTCAGGGCGAGCTGTGGACTGGTAATTAAACTTCCCCAGTGGCCGTTTCAATCGTGTGCACTAGGTATCCACTGCTGTGAGCCTGTGATGTCGCTGCCACGGCCAGCCAATTACGACGGTATGAGTATGACGTAGATTTGTTTAGAGTGCAAGATTATACTCCCTTCATTCCAAATTGATCTATATATAGTTTTTTTTTTAGGTTATTCCTAAATGATCTACATATTTGTGTTCATTTATTAAGTCTATTTGTTATTTGTGCATTGGAGTAAATGGACATTGGTATATGCATCTATGCACACAAGTATTTATAACCCACATGCAATATCTTGATTTGCTATTGGCTAGAAAATAGTGGGGATGGTGCATGCATTGAGTTTGTTGCTAGAGTAAATATAGTATGAGAGAGTTATTAGTTTTTCTTGGTCTTGGTGTACCTATGAAATATGCATATCAATTTAAAATGGAGAGAGTAATAATTAGCTGTAGCTCTTCTGAGTAAAGGTCGGGATACTCTATTCCATTATTAAAAAATAACGTAGCTCTGTTTAATTTAGATCATTAAATGATTTGATTATATATATATAGGACTAAATTAAATATTTTAATAAATAAATTTAACAAATATCTAAAATAAGTGGTCTAAACAAATACCACAGAGAAAATCTTTTTTTTATAGAAACGTGTTTTTAATTAAGAGTGGAGCAAATAATCCGGTAATAAGTTGAAAATAACATGGCCAAATTTTCTCCGAAAAAATGTATGGTTGGGTTGACTGACTGGTTGACTCGGACTCTCGTAGTCGCAGGGCTGGGCTCCATAACCACTGGGTGTCTGGGCCTCATGCCGAGAAAATGGGCCGTGTAGGATTGGGCCATCGCCCTGCTCTGTTTTTCTTTTCTTTTTTAAATATAAAAAGTCTGTGCTCTGGTTTCACGTCGTCATCGTACAGATAAATAACCAATAGCTCTCTACGTAGTACTCCTCCCTCCGTCCCAAATTATAAACCATATTTTTTATATGATCTTTAATAATATATGTTAATCATTAATTTATTTTATGTTATGTTTTTCCTAGAAGCTGATTAGACATTGTAGGTTTGCGGAGGAGGCCGAAGCTCATGCCTGTCTGAAGGGTATTCGTCTTGTAATAAAATGGATTAATCTCCCGATGATCCCAGAGACAGATTGTGCTAATGTAGCACATGCCCTTAGAGGAAATATAACGGACAGGGTCTCAGCTGTGGTTCATCCTGCACGAGGCTACGGCATAAGGCGAAGCCGCTGCTGCTCGCTCAGTTTACAATTAAGAAGGAACTAATATGCCCATGCTAAACGCTACGGTGCAATACTATTTGTCTTTAATAACTTCTAAAATTTAATGTTAGCAAAAAAATATTTTTCTATGATCTTAATTTTCCAAGGGATCAATAGTAATATATACAATGAACTTCCCATTTCATTACACCTGTTGTTTGGTTATTGGTTATATCTCCAAATGCAATTCTCGGTCCACTGACAAACATATTTTTCTCCATACATACACTACATCTGTTTAGTTATTAGTAACCCAACTCATGTTTACTATACATGCACATGCCCCCTTTGGACGTACCTACAAATCTAGATCGAATTGAATGAAACATACAGCACATGCTAACCATGCAAAAGATGAATAAAAAAATATTCATAGATAAGCCCACTGCAAAAATGTTGTCTGCACGTGTGCTCTATACTGAACACCATTGTAATATCTGACACACTATAGCTTATTTACATATTTGAGTGCAGAAAACACCGATTGCTATTTCTTTATGTAGAGATCAAACTTCTCCACCTTGAGGCTGAAAGATATATATGTTATATAAACAAGCTGTATGCAATAACAACGACAATATTGTTTGGATCTACAAATGGTTGCTTGTTCCAGGCAACTTGAGGCATTTTATGTACCGCCAATCCTTCATTTCTTATCACAGTAGTAATCTTGTAGAGATGTAGTTGTTATTGTTACGGTGCTATAAAGATATGGGCTATGCAATGAGATGGTTATGCAGTTTAAAGAAATACAATATAGCTAAGCTCAATAAAATATAAGCAGTGAACCCCTCGAAACAATAAGCAGCCAATGGTGTTAGGTATCTGGATACTTGCATACATTGATTTCTATGTTGCCTAATTTTGTCAAAATCAGAATGTGTGTGATGACATAACTGAATGTTATATGGCCTATTCTCAATGATTTATTATGGCCCGTGACCACCTAAATCCGTGAACAAATCAATTTGTTGGTAGGAAACTCAGACAATTTATTTGGTTCAAAGATCATAGTAGCACTGTGCAGTTTCAGCCATTAAACAAAACTTTTTTTTGAAAAATTAAATTTAGATAAATAGCTGTTAAACTTATGAATGTGGTGTTTTGCTCAATGGTGATCAATGGTGAGAGTTATATCTGCCAGCAAAAACTATATATATATATATATATATATATATATATATATATATATATATATATATATATATATATATATATTTGCCACACATGACTCACCTTTGCCGCACTTAGTGTATCATCTCTGAGTCTTGTATCAATTCGGAAGACTGCAATGTTAAACTCAGAAATTTTAGTATACAGTATACAATAGGTATTTTTGTAGGAAATCATTATAAAGGTTGGAAAATACATTAGTATTTTTGTGAAAGGTCCTAGTGTACAGTAAGCAATGTAAGGGATTTTTTTCCAGATGATAAATTTCAGAAACATGGTCCCCCCCTAAAATATAAATCAGAAACATGGTTGTCCAAGCATATAAGTTATATCATGTACATAGTGCAATCCAGCTTATATTTCATTTATAATGGCCATGGTCAAAGGATAATTCATCAGCTGAATGAAATACATAACTAAATGAAATTGCCACAAGAGAGAAGGTTTCCAGTACTCACCTTGGAGAGAGCGGTGAGCAGGACGATCCGGATGGAGTCTGTGTTTGTGATTTATTTGGAACAAATTTAACACAACATCTACCCAAATGAAATGAAACCAAATCAGTGAGAGAATAAAAAAATGAAATACCGATGACATCCTAAATGCAGCATCCAAATTCAGTTTGGATGTTTTTTATCAGTAACTACACAACTCGGGCACTACCATAATGAGACAGTTATATTTATTCACAAAGAAGGATTCTGAAAAGAAAGGGTGAGTTCATGAGTTATTTGGCCATTGGTTGCTTAGACAAGTTACCTTTAATGTTAATCTTATCCAGTTACTGGAACCAAGACACATTTTTATTCAATAGTCGCTACCATTTCCCATGTATACAGTCTAAATCTATGATCTTAAGAAAATAATATTGGTCCTGAATACATAAATGCATGAATGATCCAAATATATTTACCCTTTCAAGGGACAATAACGATCGTTCGATACACATGTAGAAAAATCACCCTTAGAAGAGTGAACATTTAACATCAACAAACCATGGAGAACAGGAATTCGTGTTTTTTTTATCCAAACTAAACAGCAAAATTTGGATGGAGTAAATCACTTATATTGTTAATTTGTGATACCACAAAACCCAAAAAAAATTATTGTACGGTCTGTGCAAGAAGATTAAGTGCCGAATGATTAAGAGATCAAATTTCCCCCGGACAGAAAAAATATATTACTTTCATTGATATAGGATGAAAAGAAAATAAGGGAAGGTCTGGAAATATAAATTTTGCACTGAAAAATAGAAGTGAATTTGAAAAATAGATTTTCAGTCCACTGGCAAACAGATTTTTGTCCATACTTACCTAATTGACAAGATATAAGATTAGCAATTCAACCATGTTTGCAGTTTGCTATACGTGCACATGCACCATTTACACGTGCCGACAAAATTGGATCGATTTCACTACTAGAGAATGTGAAGCTCCCGTGTGCTGCAGAGTGTTACCGTGTGTTTCCCGTAAACACACGGTAACTTACCGAGTGTACCACTATGAACTCGGTAACCCAGGAAAAAATACCGGGTGCTAGGTTTAGCACACGGTAACTTTAAACTTACCGTGTGTAGCGCGTAAGAACACGGTAACCTCCATGGTGCACGTGCTCATATTCTGCTATGTTCCATTGGCCAGAAGTGGAAATTCGTTCGCACCTAACGGAGTTAAAAGTTCCCGTGTTTATTTTTCTGCTAGACGCTCGGGAAGGGCTAGAAGCTACAAAGTAGTACAGAGATGGTCCACATGTCGGTTGCTATTGAAAAAATTAATGCAGTTCAAGGGTAATAAAACATTTGAACATTGTATTTCGAACATAATTCATACGGCGGGTTTTTAAATATAAATATTTGTAAATATAATTCATACGGTCAATTTTTTAAAAAACTATTTTATAAAAAAACTTTAAAAAGCTATCTTTCAAGTTTACAATAATAATACACAATTAATTAGGCACACTTTCTCCCAATTATCTCCGATCCTTTCTCAACCACCATGGCTACCCCTCCCTCTCCCTTCCATTCATACAACCGAATCCGGGCCTCATTAAGCTCAGGGATTATTGCATCTGGTGGTTATTCATGCCAAATATTTAACTATTTGCCACTTTTACAAGCGGTAATTAAAGATTTGTCGCTAGACCCATATGTCATAGGCACATGAGAGCCCACATGTCATAGATTGTGGGTGGCAAATTCTTAATGATCACACCTTAAAAGTGGAAAAAAGTTAAATGCCCTGATTACTTCCGACATATTTCTATACTATTTCTTACTTTGGGACCCTGTGATAAAAGGTGTAAGGACTATAAGGACCGTACGCAGATTATGCAGATTGACTCAATGTCACAAGCTCGATAATAGAGGCAAGGCTTTAGAAATACAAGGCCAACCGATCACACTACTACAAAAGTGATTTTTCTGTACGAGCCCCATGATTTTTTGCAAACGGACCACAACTAGTGGCGTTTGCAAAAATCGAGCGCCTTTTTCGCAGACGGCTGCTTAAGACGCCCGCATGGAAAAACGACCTCATTTTTGCATACGGCTCACTTAAGTGCCCGCATGGAAAAATCGATTTTTCCATACGGGCGTCTTAAGTAGCCGCTTGCAAAATTTTTTTTGAAAACTTTGAAACTAATGTATCTCACTCATATGAACTCCAAATTGGATGATTCTTTTTCCTAAATGTTTCTAAAATCATGCTCTATCATGTTATTGTGTTCTTACCGGTATTATTTCAGTAAATGATTTCAGCTGAAAAAGTCATCAATAACAAAGTTGTATAACTCATCAAGATCTATAACTTCTATTTTGGTCATTTCTTCATCCGACAAAGTGATTTGTAAGATTGTTCACAAAATATACATCTCTTATATAGTTGGTCATTTCTTCATCCGACAAAGTGATTTGTAAGATTGTTCACAAAATGTACATCTCTTATATAGTTGGTCATTTCTTCATCCGACAAAGTGATTTGTAAGATTGTTCACAAAATGTACATCTCTTATAATTATATAAGAGATGTACATTTTCTCTTATAATTATATAAGAGATGTACATTTTGTGAACAATCTTACAAATCACTTTGTCGGATGAAGAAATGACCAAAATAGAAGTTATAGATCTTGATGAGTTTTATATTATATAAGAGATGTACATTTTGTGGACAATCTTACAAATCACTTTGTCGGATGAAGAAATGACCAAAATAGAAGTTATAGATCTTGATGAGTTATACAACTTTGTTATTGATGACTTTTTCAGTTGAAATCATTTAGTAATTATAAATGTTGTTTGAAATTGTCATAATTTTAAATTCAAATTCAAACTGTTCAAACGAAGTCATATATAAAAATGACCAAAATAAAAGATGAAGATCTTAATAAGTTATACAACTTTGTAGTTGACAACTTTTCCATTTGAAATCATTTACTACCCGAAAAATTATTTGAATTTCTTATATTTTAAAATTCAAGTTTTATATAGTTCAATCAAACTCGGATGGAGAAATGACCAAAATAAAATTGGTAGATCTCAATGAGTTATACAACTTTGTTTTCGACAACTTTTTCACATGAGTTCATTTAGTATAATAAAATTCGATTCGAAGTTTTAATATTTTAAAACTAATTTTTTTCCCTCCTCATCCTTCCAAATTTTTTCATCTCCTCTTCTCCCTCCCCTCCTATCCTGATATTTTACCTTTTAATTTTCCCCATCCTTATCCTATTCCTATCTCTCCTCTCAGCCTCTCACTCTTTCCTCCTCTCCTCTCTCTCTCTCCGACAGCGAGGCACGGAGCGGGAGCGGCGGCTGCTGCGCGGCGCGGCGCGTGGCAGCGGCGGGCTCGGCACCGGCGGCGGCGGCCTTCCTCGACCTCCCATCCGGCGCGACAGCGGCAGGCTCGGCAACGGCGGTGGCCTCCCTTCACCAACCTCCCATGCGCGGTGCTCCCTTCCTCGACGTACGGCAGCGGGCACGGCGACGACGACGGCGGGCACGGTGACGACGACGACGGATCTGGACGGCGGGCATGCAGCGGTCACGGCGACGGCGGCGGCGGCGGCGGATGTGGACGGCAGCGGCGCCCTTTGCTCTCCTCTCCACCGAGCGTCGCCGCCAACCCTAGATCCGCCTGCAGCTCCTCCGCTCCTCCACCCACCACCGCCGTATCTTCCCTCATCTGGCCATCCACTCCGGTGATGTCGAGCGCGTGGTGTCGCAAGAACGTTGCCTCGTTTGGTGAGAGGGGATAGTGCAGCGAGCCGCCTCCAATCCCTTCTGTCCCACTGCTACTCGCTGTCGCAGAGAGGAGATTTGTCCGACCGGGTTTCATGTTAAGCTGTGGCTTTATTTCCCACCATCCTCAGTCCCATCCTATTTCTCTTTCTTGTTCGAGCAATCGAATCTGATTTAAGGATCTGATTTTCTCTTGCTAATTTTCAGGAGTCAACCGTCTATTTGCTGTCCCGTGCACCAACACGAACATTGACCCGATTTCATTCTGACACAGTAGTAGTAAGTATCACGAATTGTGCATTTTATTCTAAAATGTACTAGATTTATATAGCGTTTGTCACACATTGACTAGAATGGATCTGTTTAGTTAATTTGTCTGCTGTGCTGCTGATTTTAAAAGTTTAGTGTATAGAGTTAATAAAAACGTGTGTGAGCTGATAGTTTGCAGGAGTGATAAAATTCCCATGTGAGCAACTTTGTTGTTTTTATATCAGTGCAGTGTTTAGTAGGAGGAAATGAATTAAAGGACAATTCAGGGGTTGGGTTGGTTGGGTCAGTGAAGAAATCAGCAAAACTGCAGTCCACAAGATACAATGAATTATGCTTACAAGGTGTTTGTGTTAATGACTGCAAGTTGACACTTCACAGCATGTCCTTTGCATTTTAACTACAAAAGGTCGTGTTCTATGCATGCTAACTCGTGCTCATCACTAGTTGATAGATTTGTGCAGTTATTTTTCCCTGATTATTATGTTATCTCACTATATGATGCAAAAATTTAAAGCTCATGTTATCTCATGATGTGATATGCTCTTTATACAATCTCTTAGTAGTTCTCCAAAGTGCCTCACCAATTTGTGACTGACATTTTTTCCCAATAAAATGCTATGCTGACTATCGCATTATATATCTCATTTTTGAAACACAATAGTATGAGTACTTGCTTTTGATTTTGTATCGTAGTCATTCACTCAATATGTATGCTGCCTTGTTGTAAAAACAGGGTAGTATGAATTAAATACTGAAGCCTAGAAATTCACTCCCATAGTACAACTGTAAATTTGTAACTGATTGAATTGCAGTAATTGCTTTGGTACTAATAGGTAGTGTAAATTGGTATTGGTAACTGACTGAAACAATACTCACTTCTCATATCCTGTCCATGACATCTACTGTTCATGCTGGCTGTTTATCTTTTCATGTGCAGATTCTAGTATTCCACTCGGGTGTTTCCTGCAATAAGCTGAGTAAGTAATTTTAGACTTCAGTGAGCAGCTGTAGATTAATTTATCATTATCACATTCTAATAGTTTATTAATAGGATTCATGTCGATAAACAAGTTTACATTTCCTTGCCTTTCTATCATTTGAAATTGTTTTTAGTTAAAGTAAACGGTATGCCCATGGAACTTTATCTTGTGCTAGATTATTTTTCTTTCAGCACTGCTCAGTAAGCTTTCATATTTACCAATTATCGGAAACATCTGTCAAATCTAGAATTTCATATCCATTCTGTTTCTACCAATCGCACAGTGGTTTTACACATGTGTTGCTATCTTGTCTCCTTACCAGTATCTAACAATTGCAAGGATCTACACTCAAGTATTAACTCAAGGCGACAAACAGCAGCCACCCATCATCTTGACTGATTCGATATTGAATTATTGATCTATGGAAGAATTTGTTGCTTTGGTCTGCTGATAGATATATTAAGATGAAATATATGTAGCTGCTTCATCTGTTGAGATGTCACATGACTGTCTGAATTTGTAGATTAGGCAAGCTAGCTTGTCTTAAAGCTTTGATATTTCTTTAATTAACATGTGTATGTTGAAACCTAAATTTATTTGGTGAATTATGTAGTTTCACCTTATATGGATGTGAGCTGTGGTGTATGTAGCATGTGTTTCTTTTCTGATGAAATAAGTGACAATAAAAAAGAAATTAAATGGAAATCAGAAATAAAAAAGAATTATATCCACTGTACAAACCCAGTAACGATTGCTTCCCGTGTGTTTATTTTACTATATCACACGGTAACACACTGGAGCATACCGAGAGTTTTAGTCAGAGCACGGTAACACACTTGATGATACTCCCTCCGTCCCATAATATAAGGGATTTTGAGTTTTTGGTTGTAATGTTTGACCACTTGTCTTATTTAAATTTTTTTGAAATTATTATTTATTTTATTTGTGACTTACTTTATTATCTACAGTACTTTAAACACAACTTTTCGTTTTTTATATTTGCAAAAAAAAAAAATGAATAAGACGAGTAGTCAAACGTTGTAAGCAAAAACTCAAAATCCCTTATATTGTGGGACGGAGGGAGCACCGAGTTTTTTTTTTGCACCCGGGAACCTACTGTTCATTTGACGGTGAACTCCGTTACGTTAAAATTTGCCACGTGGTAGGGATAGGTGTTCCCGTGAGTTTCAGGACACCCGGTATGGTCACTAGTGTTACCGTGCGCTTTTTGCATACCCCCACGGGAACTGAGCACGGCAAAGTGGTGAAGCCGCCGTGTGTTCGTTACCGTGTGGTGGCACACGGTAACTCTGTTCCCGGGCGTTTTTGGCTTGTTACCGTGTGTTTTTGACACACGGCAGCTTCCCAGCCTCTTTGTAAGATATCGAAACTAATTATTGGATGAAATAGGATGGTTTCCTTCAGGAAACAGCCCCAATACTTTTGAGTCTTTAGAATCCAATCTGTTGTTATACTATACTCCATCTTTTGTGTCGACCTACTATATATATCTATCCTATAGCTAGCTAATGAGAATTAATTAAGTTTCAGAAGGAGGTGTCAAATTAAAAGTGATAGAAATGATAAGCTGTCTTAATTTGCATTTGAATGCTTGTGTGCGACGCAAACACGTCTCTGCAGGCCATCGCTAGCTATTCGATCGCATGCACGCATCGATCCTGCATGCCGTATATTGATGTACATATTGATGCACATATATACATGCATGCAGATCGAATAATCGATGGAGAATTCTAGATGACAAGAATAAAAATCAACGGTGCAAGAAACTGAATCATGTATCAGAAATTAGATGTAATCACAAAGTCATTGTTCAGAAATTATGATTCCGTAGTACAAATCCTTATACAAGTATCGGAAAGTGCAAGTGATCTGAACTTACCCTTCTTTAATTGACTTGTGAAGAATGAACAGCACCAAGCAGAGCAGCCGACAGAGAAGTGGACAGCACGAGCCAGGTCACGTCGCCGCCGGGGTACCCGCGTCACGTGGAGGATCTCCGCCGCCCGGGTCGTCTTTGGGCGAGGAGGATAGTCGCCTCCTCGTCGCGGGTAGGATAGCCGCAGCCGGGATCGTCTCGCCACTGCGTAGGGTTGGCTCGTCACCGCGTAGAATCGGGCGGCGTGGCGGGTGAGGAGGAGGAGGAGGAGACAACTGCGGCATCAGAGGGAGAGAGGGGAAGAGATCCACGGCGGTGATGGCGTCAGGGGAGAGAGGAGAAGGTGGCGGCGACGATTAGGGTTTGCTCGGAGAGAGGTTGGGGGAAGGAGGGGCGACAGGTGGGAGACTGGGAGTCGAGTCGGGAGTCGGGAGCCGAGAGGGAGAGCGATTGGGGGAAGGAGAACGCGTCTGGAGGAAAAGCGGCGTATACTGAGGTGGGAGGTGGAGACGATCATGAGTGTTAGATCTCAGCGAGATAATCTGGACCGTTCCATGATGAATGAAGGAATGAAAGATGAGTGAAACCATTTGTTGAACTATAAAGTAGATATAGAGGAGGTATAGTGTTGCTCATGAGTTGGCGCAACCTGCCCTGAGAACGAAACAATGTGTGGTTTGGCGATTCCAAGCTTCTCTGTGTGTATCTGAGCTCCTACCTGGCGAATGTAATCTTTCTGAGGAGTAATATATTTTCCCTTTTCCTCGCGAAAAAAGTCACATGAAAGCATTTTAAAATATTAGGCCGTGTTTAGTTTGTGTGCAATTTTTTTTAAGTATAAGGACACATATTTGAAGTATTAAACGTAGACTAATAACAAAATAAATTATAGATTTCGTCTGTAAACTACGAGATGAATTTATTAAGCCTAATTAATTCGTCATTAGTAAATGTTTACTGTAACATCACATTGTCAAATCATGGCGTAATTAGGCTCAAAAGATTCATCTCGTAATTTATATGCAAACTATGCAATTAATTTTTTTTCGTCCACATTTAATGCTCATGGACAATGTGTCCAAACATTTGATGTGACGGATTTATTGGAAGTTTGAAGGGAACTGAACATTGTCTAAATTTAGTGATATAACATGTATAATACTTAATATAAATATGATTAGTATGATTATTAGTCAAAATTATCGATTTTGATTTTTCTAAAAAAAAGACGCATTATAACTTGGGACGGAGGGAGAACTACATACATAGTACTTCATTTGTTTCAAATAAGTTCATTTTTTCACATCTCATACATCTTAATAATTAATATAAACCAAAAGACTTTTAATACTCTTACTTTATCATATACTACTCAATGTATTTATTGTAATTATTTATCTTTTTATGTACTCTCAATGTATTTACTTTCACAAATTTATATGTAATGAAAAATAAACTTATTTTATTTTTAGGGATTTGCTTTGGTCCAACAAAAACTATCTCGAGATACCAGTACATCATGGTATCAAATCGTTTCCGATTGTTGGATCTAACAATACCTATCATGCCTAGCTAGATCCAATGGTCAGAAACGATTTGATACCGTGAGATAACAATACCTCGAAATACTTTTTGTTGGACCGGAGTAAATTTCTTTATTTTATAATGAAGGAAGTATTACCAAACTACTACCAATGCTGCAGCTCCTCCTGCACGGCTGTCTCAGAGCAGGTACAATAGCAGACTATTAGTCAGCTATAAACATATTTAATAAGATAAAAGATGAGAGAAAAGAGTAGTGTGCTACAGATCTGTAGCCAGCTACAGTACGGACTTTAAGACGCCATGTGTGTATGACAGGTGGGACCATATATTAATAGTATAATAAACAATTATTATATAAATAAACTATTAGATTAGCTATAGATAAATTAGAGCTAGTAATGGGCTATACTATTAAACTTGCTCTCACAGCCAGGTCGCACCGTATTAATTTCTCCTGCGATGGACAACTGATAGCCTTTCATTTCATCAGGGCTGGTGGCCGTTTTGGCAATGGCCAATGGCTCTCTACGGCAGTAAATGCTGCAGCTCCAGCATGGTTGTCGTCCAAGACACTCTCAGATGAAGTCCTCATTATCACGGATCTAGAGATTCCGGGACCACCGAAAAAAAAATCCAGCTGTGTGTGTCTACATACACATGTGTGAATATTTTTTTAAAAAAATCTCATTTATTAATGTATTATTATGCAAATTTAACCAATTTTCTTCTAACTTGGTGTTAACGACTAAATTTGGTAATTCGAGTATCAAAGATAGAGATTAGATTGAAGCGGAATCCAAGTCCAAGATTGTTTCGGAAACAGAGTAAGAATCGGCTGAGTCCGAATCGGCTGCGACCTTAATCAGCAGAGTTCAAGTCGGACAAGGTTAGCCGATTAAGTTGAATCTAACAATGTGACACGGTATACATTGTCAGGTTGGGTTAACGAGCTTCATGAGGATTGCCGTGCATGGATAGAGTCCTGAGAAGACAATTGTATCTATTAATTAGGATATTTTATGTAATTTTCTTAGAGATATGTTTGGGCAAAAGTCTGCCGTAAAAACTTATGGTATCTTAGAGTTTGTTAGAGATAAGAGTCGTGTCCGATATGGGCATATTTTGTAATCTCGGGTATAAATAGACCCCGAGTCCCATGTAATCAAACTAACACATGTTCAATACAATCTCGGCGCATCGCCACCTTTTTACTTTCATTTTGTTTCGACGAGTTCTTGCTTTCGGGTTCGGGTTGAGCTGCATCGGTTTCGATCTTCAACTAGAGGTAAAACTTGTTATGGCGGCTTGCGTTCTCAGGATTAGTGCTTCCATCTTTATGATACTCTAATCTTATCTATGTAATTCGCCGAGTTATCATATATTCTATATAATCCACGACAATATTGTTATTTAACCTACAACCGGCTAACATCTATTGTTAGAAGGCAGCCGATTAGGTTAAATAGCAATGTTGGCTTAGATTATATAGGATATCCACCACTCTATGAAACATCCAGCGGCTTGATTGTCTAGATATTGTTTTTTTTTTCATATTTAGTGCTGCATCAGTTAAGTTTGATCTACTAAATCGTGCTTAGAATATTAATCTCTAGCCTGCTTTCTAGTTGCCGATTAGAGTAGTATTGGGGTTTCAGCCGATCTTACCTGATTTAACTACTTTTACGTTACATGATTGATTAACATGTTAAATCTGCCATTTATATTAAGATCTTGTCGTAATTAAATATGTTAAGCTTCTGTTTGACGTATTTTACTTGCTTTAATATCTTAATTTAGAGTGGTATCGGAGTATTAGCCGATACATGCTAGATCTATCTGATCGGCTATGCTATGAACATATATAATCCAGTTGTTAATATATATTTTGATCTAAGTGATTTATACTGTCTCGGCATGGCGACCGATCTATCCCAATCACTTGATTTAAGTACATATTGACATAAGGATTATATATTGTTAATATCTACAGCCGATCGAGTAGATTTAATTCTTTATTACTTATTCATGACTACCGATCGATTCACATATGACATCGGCTCAAAGATAAATGATATATTATCGGCAATTAGCCGATCAGCTATCGTTTATAGATTTAACCGTGGTTTCTTTGTCTTTATTTCTTGTTGATTGCAGGATCAACTGGCACGCTTACGAACCTAAAGGCAAGCTTTTGGACCTGCACTAGAGTTAAGCAGATCTCCCAGGCCTCGTGTTTTTACATCAACACTTGGTTAAATTCAAGGTATTTTTTTAAAAAAATATATAAGTTGTACCACAAATATAAAAAATTTAAATAAGTCACCGCTCATTATGTAAATAAAAGACAAATATAAGTACACGATACGATATATTTTAATACTACGAATTTATATTTATATTATTAAGATGTGACACATTTTATACCAGGTCTGTTATTTTTTTATAGACAGGAGTGCGGGCCTTTTTCAAACAGTTCAAAAGTGCACGCAGCCTGCCGCCTTCATAAGAGCAAGTTTAATAGTATAGCCAACCCGTTGGCTCCAAAACAATTATAGCTAATGTAATAGTCCATTCATACAATAGTTAACTATAAAAATATACTACATTATTAATATTCGGTCCCACCTCTCATACATGTAACGTCTTGGAGTCCGCATTACAGTCGGCTTAAAAATCTATAACCCGCTTTCTTCTCTCTTCTCTCTTCTTCTCGATATGTGGTTATAACTGGCTTATAGCTTGCTATTATACCTGCTCTCAGAGACAGTATCCATGTCGTGTCGTCATCTGCACGTACGAGCTGCTACTTGGGGGTGGGGGAGCGGCAACTTGGCAACTTGATTTTGGGGCAATTACTCTCTAACCAACAACTGGATGAGAAATTCCCTAACAGTGCAAATCTAGACAGACAGTAATAAATCCATAGCAGCTGGAGGAGCTGCCACTGCATGAGCATTGTGCGCGCGGCAATGCAAAACAAGTTTAGTTTTATTTTCTTTATTTCTAAATTAGATTCATTTCTAACTAGTCATTATATCCGAGTTTATGAATGTAGAAAATAAATATGTTAGAAATGTATAAAGAGATGAAATAATTAAATCGCGATTTAAGAAAGTGGAAGTATTCTTTTTTTTATTTGTATGTGTGAAATGGATATAAAAAATGTACTTATTATGGTACAGAGGATGCGTGCAGTTGTTGAGAAGTTGGATTCTACCCTACAAAGGTGCTGTTCCAAGGAGATGGATCAGAGAACGCACTCACTGTTGATGGCCGATCGGTAGGACACGACGAGTTCATTCAAGGACAGCGTGTGAAACCTTGTATTGCAGTTAAGCTCGGATGGCCGGAACCCACCATTAGATGTTAGAGCTAGCTTGCCCAAGAATAATATACTACCTCTATTTTATATTATATACTAATTTAATCTAGTTAGCCATTTTTCTTTAAGTTTAATTAAGTTTATATGAGAATTTAGCAACAACTATAACATTAAATTAATTTAATTATATGTAAATATTGAAAATTTTTGATGATGCATTTGTTTTGTGTTAAAATTATTACTATATTTTTTACTAAATTAGTTAAACCTAACAAAGTTTAATGAAAAAAATCAAAACGACTTATAATACAAAACAGAAGGAGTGCCATGTTTAGAATTAAAGCTTTCAATTACATATCCATTTGCGAAGAAGCAGACAGTAGTACGTGGTACATCTGAGCTTTTATCACACACAAAAAGGAAAAAAGAAAAAAAAATGAGAGGAAAGATCGTGATGAAGATTCACCAGTTTTTCCATTTCACCGTCCCACAGGCTGATCATGGGAACATCATGCGATCCCCAGAGGCTTCAAGACCCGAGCCGGTACATGCCGTCCACAACGAACGGCCAGCTGCCCATGTACAGCGGCAGCGCCGCCGCCGCCGCCGCCGCCGCAAGGCCGCCGTCGTGGCCGGAGTGTCGGAAGCCGCCTCCGGCAGCTTCCACTGTCGGGAAGGTCATGCCTGCCACCGGCGTCGGCTTCCAGTGCCGCTTCCTCTGGTTGATGAACCAGTTGCTGATCTGCTTCTGGTCCAGCCCCGTCGTCTGCGCCAGCGTCATCTTCTCCACCTCCTGCTCATACACACATGTACACCCGAGAAGTTCACGCATTTTCATAAGATCGAGTTTGGTGCAGAAAAATGTGGTTGAATTGATCAAATGGGAAGCATATATATGCGTGCGTACGGAGGGATAGGGCCATTTGTCGTAGTGCAGCTCCCACCAGTGCAGAAGCTTCAGCCTGGCCTCCTTGGGGAGCTTCCCTTTCTTGGTCCTCTTGGAGAACGCCTGCCGGAGATCGCCCAACGAGCCACCGTACTTCATCAGAAGCTGGTGCTTCAGCTGCTTGTCACTAGGGTCGATCTCCTCAGCCTCAGGACAGCTCGTGTCTTGCTCTTCCTCGGATGATCCCGTGCCTTCACAATTACTGTCTGTTAAAAACAGCAGCTCAAAAAGGTTAATTATTGTTTAACATGATGTGCTATCAAAATAATTAAAAAATTACATGACTGCGTGCGTCACAGCAGGTAAACCTCATATGAAGGGAGGTGTGAGAGATCGAGTAGATTATGCATAGTTACAATTCTGGTTAGGGTGTGTTTAGTTCACGCTAAAATTGGAAGTTTTGTTGAAATTGGAACGATGTGACGGAAAAGTTTGAAAGTTTATGTATGTAGAAAAGTTTTAATGTGATGAAAAAGTTAAAAGTTTAAAGAAAAATTTTAGAACTAAACCCGGCCTTAGATTGCCCCGGAGAGTATAATGGTAGTACTGTGTATTACTCAATCGGTCAGCCCCACCAGGCCACCAGTCAGTCAATTAATTCTTTGTGTTTACTAGGACTCCTAGTGGATTGAAGCAAGCAACAGTGCAACCCTGAAGGCCTGAACATGTTGTACACTCAGCTGCGCACCCAATAATTGTCCTTGCTCATCTAAACACAGTATTTCCAAATTTCAAGCAGAAAACTAGACTAGTCAAACAGCCGTCATACCGTTCAATTTGAGACAAGGATATTCATTTTGATTCATAGGGAAAAGCTATGACAAGAATATATACTAAATATTACAAGGCCTGCTTGTGTTCTGTTTATTCGAAGGCAAAAATAAAAAAATAAAAATTTAGTGATATTGTGTGAACACTTAGAGAACGGTTTTAAAATATAATTAGCAGGCACATAATAAAGATGAGTTCAAAACGATGATGACAAGAGAAACCATTCCACCGTGCTATGAAAAAATTGTGCCCATCCTAATTTGCATTCATCTCAAAGCGATTGTAATATATAGATCCATGATTTGTACGGATAGTGAATTTCATAAATTTTGCCATATTAGTCGTCTTATGAAACACCACCTTGTATATATGCAATTATTAGTGTAAAAACTACACTAGTTCATATAGACAATTAAAATTATTGATTTTAAAAATGAAATAACGCCAAATACTTACAAAGACTAAACTAGTTCCACTAAAATTTATTCACCGTACCCTTGATTTCAGAAGATAAAAAAAATCATATAAATAACAGATATATTACACAACTACAATTCATAGGACAATATATATAGCATGCAGTTCAAATTTTCCATCAAATATAAAAATTTATTTGAAACTTTCTGGGAGCTATTTATGCTGCATGTGTGCACATACACATTCTGTTGACATTGGAATATTTCCAGACAGTACAGCAGCATGCAGCCAGAATATGATTCAAAAAGTAATTAACAGCATGAAAAGTGCTACTTATGAACAGTTAAATGGATATTTCTGAAATGACAACATTGAGACAAGAAATGACATCAAGGATGCAAAGTCTAGTTAGTATTGATGCTAGTACAAGACACTGCAGGTTAAAGTAAATGTGTGCATAGACTATATTTTCTCTATTGTTGTGGATGATATATATGTTAAGTTAGATAATCATCCACTAAGAAACAAGCCGTGTTTATCACTCTTACGAACTCCTAATGCAATCCTCCTCCTTTTTTTTAAATATATAACATTGTTGACTTTTGAACATAACGTCTGTCCATTCACCTTAAAAAAATAGTGCAAATATGTAAAAATATAATTTATGTTTGATGTACCTTTAATAATAAACAAGTCACAAAAAATAATTTATATTTATATATTATTTTAATAAGACGAACGATCAAACAAAAGTCAATAGCTAATATCTTAGTATGATCCATACTGGTGAAATAGTAGGATTCCAACAATTCATCTGAGTATATGGAATAGATCAAATCATGTGTAAGGGGATGAATTGTTGCACCAGTCAAACAAATATCCAACAAATTAGAAAAAAAATTCAATTCTCAAAAGAGACCATCTGTAGACAGGAATATATGTGTAGACACAAAAAAAAATGTCTCATCGGTAGGGGAATAGCTGAATGACATTTTTGCAGACTAAATATATAAGAAACCAGATAATTCTTCCATATATATATATTATCCAGGATTTGTACGGATAGTGAATTTCATAAATTTTGCCATATTAGTCGTCTTATGAAACACCACCTTGTATATATGCAATTACTAGTGTAAAAAACTACACTAGTTCATATAGACAAAATTATTGAACTAGGTTTCAACAAAATACAATATGATATGCATGCTGGTCACCATGCTAGCTGCTTTCATTCTTTCAATTATTTGGCACTCGATTGATGTCTGTATATATATAAGAAAGAGTTCTGATCTGGAAATCTATTCCTATGGCTATGGAAAGTGCTCAATAATGTTTGGAAACAACTGCATTTGAAAGGACACAACTAGATGGTAATACGCACTTATCAATAGTCTACGAGTAATATATATAGCTGGATCCTTACCCCACTCCAGGCCATGAGACAAAGTGCACAGGGTACTATGTCCGACAGCCAAGACTCGATCCAGGATTTGAGGTCCGTAAACTAATTACACTCACGGAGGCACAATGACAATAGGCCCACCGGCCACTCATTCTGTCATCCACCGCCACTCATGTTTTCAACCAGCTAGATGTTACTTACACCTCAATTTGGCCACTATGTTCTGCAAACTTTGATGGTTCATTTAATTTACCTTTTGGCCCTTAATAGTAACATAAATCGTCTATGTTGAAAACAAAGATCGTCTAGCCATTTCTCTGTGACTACCAGCGGAAGACATGATAAGAGAGCAAAAATGTAGGTTAGACAAGGACCTGCAGAGATATTGGGGACAGGAAAGCAGGAGAACCATGCATGGCATGCAATTTGGAAACCCTGGAGCTCAGCTCACAGCCTCACCGGCCGTGTGACCTCATGATATGCTTGCTAGTTTATCGATCATACTGCTCAAGTATACTTTGTTAAGCTCCAATTTTTGTGAAAGTGATCTAATTGCATGCGACAAGCTAGGCTGCAAAACTTATCTCCCCTACCCTAATAAACAAATTAAAGCCTCAAATTAGCAGCCTTAAGAAATAACAGCTGCAACAACCATACGAGTCCAAAGAGGAGGTGACCAAGAAAAAAAAAAGACTAACTCCAATCAGCCATAGAGTGATATACCATTTCCCAATATGGAAATTTCTGTATAGAAGAGGCGTATAAAATACTCTCTCCGTTTCAAAATGTTTGACACCGTTGACTTTTTAGTACGTGTTTGACCATTTGTCTTATTCAGAAAATTTAAGTAATTATTTATTCTTTTCACATCATTTGATTCATTGTTAAATATACTTTCATGTACACATATAGTTTTACATATTTCACAAATTTTTTTTAATAAGACGAACGGTAAAAACATGTGCTAAAAAGTCAACGGTGTCAAACATTTTGAAACGGAGGGAGTACTCACCAGCGATCGAATCAAGCTGAAGAACTCCGCGGCTTCCAGGATCGGCCGCTCCAGCTCCTCCCTGTACCTCGTCAGCATGCTGCAGTACGCGTCCTGTGATAATAACAAGATCAGATCCCCGTGTCTCGAATCTCGATCGATCAGAAGAACAGCGGAACACATGTACTAAGCAGCTAGCATGCATGCGAGCAAATTAATTGCTATGTCGAGACCATGAACTGATCGAGCTGATGATCCGGGACGTCGTCATCACGCCGTGGCTCGTGCCGGCGACGAGGGTGGCCGTCGGCTGCGTCCAGCTGCTGCTGCGCCGCCGGCACGGCCGTGAGCTTGGTCAGTACATCCGGCGGCGCCCCGACCTGATAAAAATCCAACAAAATGAACCAGTCAAACAAAGCACATGGCGTGTTTAGATTCTAACTTTTTTTTTCAAACTTTTAATTTTTCTATCGTATCGTTCTAATTTTTTTAAACTTATAATTTTGACGTGAAACTAAACACAACCTCTGTGTCTGCATGGGTTTAAAATATATATACTTCTGCTAGCTAGCTAACCTTTTTGCAGCCTAAGTAGGCGGCGAGGAGAGCCGAGTACTGCGGATGCGACATGATCTCGGCCTTCATCGCCGCCTCCGCGCCCGCCGGCGAGACCTGTAGTCCCTGCACAGCTGCTGCTGCTGCGCCGCCACCGCCGCCGTGGTGGTGTCCATGCCCATGCCGCGCCGACGACGCCGAGCCGGCGAGCAGCTGGTACAGCAACGGGGGCGGCGAGATGCGGTCCGGGTTCTCCGGCGGGATCAGCTCCGGCAACCGAGCTGTGGTGCTGCTGCTGCCACCTCCTGCGAGACTGGCGAAGCTCTCCATGGCCGATAGGACAGGTGATGAGGTGAAGAAGAGCCGATAGATAGTAGTTATTATAGCAAACAAACCCTAGCAAAGAAAAGGAGGAGATGATCTCCTAGAAAGAGGTGGTGGTGGTTGAGATGGATGCAGGGAATGTGAAGAATATGAGATGGATTCTAATTAATCACTTGGGTAGATGTCCACCGTTTATTGCATGTCAACTAAATGCTTATAAAAAAATTGACAAGATAGATCAGTATGTAATATATCACTCCACAAACATGCAAATTCAAATTTAACTTTTATAAGTCGCAACAAAAATAACAAATTCAATTGCAATTTGCAAATATATGTATACTAATTTAAGTTTTATTTGCTAATTTTGTTACAATATGTACAAAAGTTAAATTTTAATTTATATATTTGTGGAGTGATATATTATATATTGATCTGTCTTATCTATTTTTTTTCAATTTTTTTAACTATTTAAATGACATGTATACAATAAACGTTCACCCGGGTAATTAAAAGAGTTTCGCAGAAGATGAATATGATAGTACACTCCTAAACTAGTACACTCCTAGTACGTGTGGCTGGTGGCCATATTAGCTTCGTTCTAACGTCAAAATCAGAGCGAGAAATTAAGAAGAGGCTAGGCTATTCACTGTTTGCAAGCAGCGACAGCAACAGTGAAACTACTGCGAAACACATGAGAAAGGAGGGAATAATTATACTCCTGCGCTAAAGCGTAGACAAAGCAATAAATAATTAATGACGGCGAATAAAACAGACGGGGAAAAGGATCTGGACAACGTAACAGCGGCAGGCGCAGATCTCGCACAAATTTTGATAATTTGATCCTTTGAAAAAACTAATTTTACAAATAAACCGTCACCAAAACTTATTTTAAAAATGACCTTTTTTTTCAGCGTCAAATCATGTGGCGCTGAACTTAGACACTTCAGCGCCATTTCAACTGGCACTGAATGCCGTGCCACCGCGGATAGGAGGCTAAGTCAGTGTGCCAACGTACATTCAATGTCTTGCTATTTGGCGCTGAGGTGTATAAATTCAGCGCCATACGATTTGGCGCTGAACAAAAGGGTCTGTTTTAAAATAAGTTTTGGCGATAGTTCATTTGTAAAAATAGTTTTTACAAAGGGTCAAATAGTCCAACAATTTCAGATCTCATGTGGGATGTTTTCCCTCTGCTTTCCTCTCTTCTCATTCGAATACTGTTCGTTTTCAGATGATACTCATATGCTGACCAGTATTACGCCGCAGCTGATTTCGTCTATCCAGGTCGGCATGAAGCAGCAGTACTACGTATAGCAGCGTTTGCAGTACAAGGCGTCTAATGAACAGCAACGGGACAGTGCAAGGGATGCATGTAATGAGAGAGCTACAGTCTACAGCAGTTGTGTTAGTTCCATGTGTCGAGGTCCTTAACTTCTTTTCACCAAGATGGAAAGATTCTGGGAAAAGTAATGTGATGGAACTGTGCATAGATGTGGAGCCCTATATAGCTAGAGCTATCTCCTAGGCCCTTAGCCTCAGATCAGATATTATGGCTGTGTTTAGTTCCCTTCAAACTTTCAACTTTTTCATCACATCAAATGTTTGGACACATGTATGGAGCATTAAATGTGGACAAAAAAAACCAATTGCACAGATTATGTGTAAATTGCGAGACGAATCTTTTAAGCCTAATTGCGCCATGATTTGACAATATGGTGCTACAGTGAACATTTGCTAATGACAGGTTAATTAGGCTTAATATATTCATCTCGCAGTTTTCTGACGGAATCTGTAATTTGTTTTGGTATTAGACTACATTTAATACTTCAATGTACTGTATATCCGATGTGACACGCAGAGCAAAATTTTTTGCCAACTAAACAAGGCCTAAAGTCGTACAAAGTGCACCGACATAACAGTGGTCGAGTGTCTTCAACTTGTCATATCGGTGCGGCAGCACTAGCTCGGCTGAGTTTGTGCATGCTCTTCGGACTCCTCATGCCCTCTCAAGGGGGCATGGGTGCCATAATAGGGCAGAGGCTAGTGCCACGAGCCACGATGACCTTGGATGTAGGAGAGAATGGAGAGGAGGGAGCTCTGAATGATGCCGCTAACAAGCTTTATGTCTGCTGCCGCCACCTATGTGTGGGGCCACCGCGCCTCGCATCTAACAAAGCTAAAGTAAGCCAAAGCTCACCGGCCACGCCACTCCCCAATTAGCGTCGGCACAAAGCTCATGTCGTGGCCGAATCTGATAACCACTAGCTCTAGCACCCCTAGAGTTGTGGCCACCGATCCGACAAGGAGCGAAGTTGGATGGCCATGGGAACTTGCGAGGAAGGACTCCCCATGGCGTAGGAATCCACCAGGGCAAGTGCCTTCCTCCTCATCACTAAGCTTGTCCACACTTGTTGCCTAACTGCGTTGGTGCCGATGGTGCCTACTCGGCCAAGGCCGGATAGGGGACATGCAAAGGTGAAGGAGAGAGCAACGTTGACAAGAAGGGGAGGGGAGATGGGAGCCTGTTAACAGTGAAATTTGGTAAGCTCGGAGTAGTCATCGGCTTAGAGTCAGCATCGGCTTTGAAGTCCTGAGATTAGCCGATGAGAGTTGTCAAGTCATCAGTTGTCGGATTCTTGCTATATTCGGTTAAGGAAATTGATCTACTAAATGAAGCTTATCCAGAAGAGACCGAGTTCAAAGAGAATGCGGCATGGCAAGTTATCTATTAATTAGGAATAGTTTGTTAGTTTCCTTTTATCTTTAGGAAAGTTTCTTTCTTGTCCGACAAGGACTTGTATCAACCCATAGGTATAAATATGTACACCCGGGGTCTATGTAATCTATCGCTATGATCGATACAATTCGGTGCATCGCCACCATTTTTACTTCTACTTTTGTTTTTACGTTCCGGCGGAACTTGGCACCCGACGCGGGGCTGCATCGTCTTCGATCTCCGGCGAAGGGATAAGTCCAATGTTTCACCGGTCCAGGCAATTGTATCGTCTACATCGGCGTCGTTCAAGGCTGCATCAGGACATTCGACCTCTTGGATTACTCTGGTTTGGATAATATATTTGCCTACCTATTTATCATATATCTATGTTAATCTAGTCTTAGCATATCAATTTAGCTCTATCGGCTGCTTCTCGTTTTAGGGTTTATGCCGGTATCGGCTAAATCGTGTTGCTAGATTAGATTAGCTTAGACATCTACCACCCTGAAAACTCAGTCAACGGCTTGATTGTCTAGATATTATGTTTCTTTTCATACTTAGTGCTGCATCAGTTAAGTTTGATCTACTAAGTCGTGCTTAGAACCATAATCTCTAGCCTGCTTTTTGACTGTCAATAAGGGTTTCATCGGGGTTTCAGCCGATGAGTTATATGGACGTTGCATCGGCTTATAAGGATTGTATACATAATGGATTTAGCCGATCGCAACAAAGATTTTATCGTTTAATCTAATCTTGTGGATTTTATGACATCGGGCCTCCAGCCGATGTATGCTTTAACCATCGGATCAGTGCTTATTCTATCATATCAATGCTAGCCGATTGGTTTATACTGGACTATATTATTGTTATATTTTATTATCAATAGCCGATTGCCTATATATCATTATTTACTAAAGTGTCCGACTCTACATTGGACTCAAAGCCGATAGCTCAGAACCCTATCGCTATCGGCTGGCATCAGCTATCTGCTGATATCGCATCGGCTGAAACTACTCCATCGGCTTGTCATCCGATCGGCTCATTGATCTGCTGTTTGTATCTCTTGTCAGTTACAGGATCAAACTGACTGGCACGTCCGCATCTCATCAATCTTTGGACCTGCACAGGAGCTAAGCAGATCTCCTAGGCCGGTGTGTTCGATTTTTTCGTCGACAGAGCCGATGGAGGGTAGGGAGTGATGAAGGCAATGGGAGCCGCCGGTAAATGGGGATTCCATGGAGTGGCTAGGGGATGGGTCTAGATAATATCTAAGAGATTTGGTCAAGGGAGCTATTTTGTAATAGTTTCTAGTTTTAATAGTGTTTAGTGTAAATTTTTAAAGGTAATCACACAAAATTTGACTAAAATAGAAAATATGAGTTTGACATGAAAAATTGATGACATGACTTAATTAAGCAACTTTTCTACTATAGGAGAGAATGTGTGGCCTCAACTTACGTGTCACATTCTCCCCCCTTTGAGATTACTTATTGGAGTGGCTTGTATTATGAATGTGTTAGCCGTGAAATTTGGTAAGCCTCGAGTCATCATTGGCCTAGAGTCAGTATCGACTTCAGAGTCCTGGAATCAGCCGATGGGAATTATCAGGTCGCCAATAGTCGGATTCTTAGTAGATTTGGTTAAGGAAATTAATCTGTTAAACGAAGTTTATCCAGAAGTGACCGAGTTCAAGGAGGATGCGGCATGGTAGTTTATTTATTAATTAGGAAGAGTATGTTAGTTTTATTTTATTTTTAGAAAAAATATGTTTAGTGTCCGATAAATACTTTATGTTTTCCTTTTATCTTTATGAAAGTTTCTTTCTTTTCTACGAGGAACTTGTATCTAAAGGCCAAAGCAGGGGATGGGGGATCAGTGCACGAGTAGAAACGTACAGTGGTAACTGACCAGTGAGGCCCCATGGATGCAAGCCAGAAGCTTGGAGCGGCCACGGGCCACGTGCATGGTCGTGGCCACGACCTGGTGCTTGTGTGCAGCGGCAGCAGCAGCTTCTGGCCATCCTACTTCCTGCTGATAAGAGAATATGGAAGCCATAAGTCACTGTTGCAACTCTGGTAAATACAAAAGCTTCAGCCGTACACTGGCGGTCAGATTAAACATGTACTCCCTCCGTTCCAAAAAAAAAGGCAAACCGCGGGTTTGCGTGTCAACGTTTGACTGTCCGTCTTATATTAAATTTTTTTATAATTAGTATTTTCATTGTTGTTAGATGATAAAACATGATGAATACTTTATGCGTGACTTATCTTTTTAATTTTTTTCATAATTTTTTCAAATAAGACGGACGGTCAAACATTGGACACGGAAACCAGGGTTTGTCTTTTTTTAGACGGAGGGAGTAAGGAGCAGAAAC